TTAAAGAGACTTTTTCTGTAGCAGTAATTGAAAGGGCTAATACCACTAGGAAACCCGAATTATTAAAAATGTGTCATTTGTGTCCTAAAGTATCTAATATGACATTTGTGTCTCAACCCATTATAGTTTTTTGCAGGGTTCAAGAAGGCGCTCCTAGGCTCAATTAGGCGCTAGGCGGTGGAGGATAGCCTTGACTTGGCCATATGCGTTGTAAAAGGCGCTGGTAGCGCTTAGTAGGTAGGAATAGCACTTAGTTTGCGCTTAGTGGACAGAAGGCGTGTCTGGGCATTCCTGGGCGAGCTTAGGCGGTTAAACCCAATACTCTTCGTTTTGTCCTAGAAAATCAGAAACTTGCCTCTTGCCCTAGAAAATCAGAAACACGGGAAGTAACATCTGCTGCCGCCTGCCGCCCTAGCTCTCGCCCCATCTGCTACCGCCTTTTGCCCTAGCTCTCGCCCCATTTGCTGCTCTCTGCCGTCGCAGGAGAAAGTCATCGATCACTCTTCTCGCCTTCACACCGCTCCGCTGCTATAGTGGGAAATAAAGCCAAAACTCGTCAATTGTTGCTCCTTCCTTCTCCTTGGTACGTAGCACAAGCTTCTTGCCTCTATAAGCACCTATTAGCAGATGATTGGTCACTATTTGCTTGTTATTTGTTATGTTAAGTATGTACTGTTAAGAACTAGGCATTGCTAATTTTATATGCACTTGGGTTATATGAATTATTCCAGAAAACAGGAAATATTTGAGAAATTTTCCATTTATGCTCTGCACGCCTAGGCTACGCCTAATCGGGCAAGGCGCAAGTCAGGAGCCGAGCGCCTGCCTTACGCCTAGCGCCTTTTAGAACCTTGGTTTTGTGTCATTTAAGTCCCAACCTATTATAGGTTTGTGTCATTTATGTCCTAACCCGAACTATTAAGAATGAGCCATTTGTTAAATACTAACGGTCAACGCCGATCAACTCTAACGGAAAAATAGTTTAGGACACAAATGTCATATTGGATACTTTAGGACACAAATGACACATTCTTAATAGTTCGGGCTTCCTAGTGGTATTATCCCTAAATGAAATTCTAAACTTATGAAGTTGAACTCTACACAAACCCTACAAATGAACCTTATTGAACACGAAATTATATATCTTGTATTATTCTGTTACTATATATTGAGAACCTCGAGGATTCCAACACAATACCTAGCGTAATTAGTTAAACCGACGATGTATCGGAGCATTAATCAACTCTTGATCGGCATTCATCAGTGCATTTTAAAAAGGAGTGCCTCTTAGGAATGCGTTAGGATGAATACTAGTTTTTTAGTAACCATGGTGGCTACCTACATCTAAACTGTTTATTAGCTCTACTCTTTCCTTTTTTTAAAATGACGTCAAGATTAAATTAAGGATAGTTTGGGAATCAAAGTAATATCACACGAGATTATTACCTATATTTATAACTTACCTTCCCCAACCCTACATCTACCCTCACCACCCTCCCATCTCCCCTCCCGCCTGCCGCCTCCCCACCTCACCCTCCCTAACTTTCCACCCCATCCCACCGTCCCACAACCCTCTCCACCTCACCCTCCCTAACTCCCAATCCCATCCCACCATCCCATGACCCTCCCTTCTCTCTTTCTCTCTCTATAAACAGGAAGGAGCCGATGGACAAGCGTCTTGGGCGAGTACGGGATCGTGGATATCGTCAAAGCAATCGCCAGCTCTAGCCATCCTTTTATCTTCGACCCTCTCATCTCAATAGTATTGTTTTTGTCGCATTGGTATTGATTTTGTTGCATTGGTATTGTTTTTGTCGCATTGTTGTTGATTATCATGTAATGGTATTAATTTGCATGTATTGGTATTGATTAAATCTGCAATGGTATTGGTTTTTTGTGAAATGATATAGATTTATATTGGTAGATTGTTTATATTGGTAGTTTTCATGTAATGGTATAGATTTATTTTTGCAATGATATTGATGTTTTTCAAAGTGGTAGTGGTTGTCTAATGGATTGGTAGTGATTTCGTGTTTTTTTTTCTTTTGCAGATAGATTGAGAAAAATAAGTAAAGGGGATTTGGTTGGAGATTACAGAAGTGAGAGAAAGAGAGAGAATTGTAATTAATAGATTTTTGTAACTGTCTAAAATGTAATTTGTTAAAAAAATTAATTAATACGATTTATTTTTCATACCCAATTTACTCTTAGATTTTTGTAGTACTCACCGTAGTGTCCCGTACGTCTCATACCTCATGCAACACAATCCGATCGAGTACTGGTAGACGTACGTACTCGTCAACGCAGTGATAGTAACTGAAACACAATGGTATCCTGATGATCTTGTAAATATAGTTCTATACGTATCTCTTCAGGGAGGAAAGGGTTTAATAGTTCTATACGTATCTTGTAAGCAATAATTTGCACTTAAAATAAATATAGTTTATTAACTTATAGAAAATGCTTAAAATTAACTTTGATATTCTTCTCACCCTTAATAGGGGTGGGAAACGGTTTGATCCGGTTAAACCGGACCGGATTAACCCGGTTTTTTTAAGCCGTATTGACCAAAGCTGTAACTGGAAATTGGATTGGATGGAGACCCGGTTTCAACCATGACCAGACTGGGTTGGATCCGGTCCGGTCCGGTTTCAACCAAAAAACTGGATATTTTCTTTACCCAAAAATCGCCACCGTTTAATCCCTCTTCTCTCCCAAAACCAAAAAAGCAAGCATCCCCACCCCACAATTGCCAAATCTCTCTCTCCCTCCCTCTGTCTCTGTTTCTCTCCCCTCTCACATTGAAAGAGTTCTCTCCCCTCTCACCCACCGACGCAACCATCGCCACCATCCCCGCATCTTCCTTGTCGTCATAGTCGCCATCGTCGCCATCCCCGAATCATCGTCGCCACCATCGTCGCCATCGCCTCGTCTTCCCTCTCTGTTTCTCTCCCCTTTCACTTGTTCTTTCTTCGTTGTTGACTTGTTGTTGTTGCATGTTTCGATCTGGGCAAGATCGAGACTGAGGGTGCAGATCGAAGGCGGTCTCAAATCGGATGGTGAGACTGAGAAGAGAGAGAGACCAGATCAGGTGCGATTGAGATGTCGCCACCAGTTTTAAAGCCGTTTTGAGATGTCGCCGTCGCCATCGTTTAACCGGGTTGCATGTGCGGAGAGACCCTCCTCAAGGGCTGGGTTGAGATGTCGTCGCCTCCGACTGAGTCTTCATCGGCCAGAGACTGATGCGACCGGAGGGAGAGCAGAACGAACGAGGATTGGAGAAGAGAGAACGAGAAGAAGAGAGTAAGCGGCGCTGTGGCAGAATGGAGGTGATAGGTTTGTTAGGGTTTTGCAGGCTCTGGGCCCTGGGGGTGTTTTGCGGGCTGAGGGATCTGGGCCCTGGGGATGTTTTGTGGGCTGTGAGTTGCGGGCTCTGGGCTATTAGACAGTCACCCGGTTTCCGGTTAAAACCGGACCAAATTGGACCGCGACCAGGCCGGGTTTTTACTCATAAGCTCCGACCGCAAACTGGATTGGGTAAGCTGCTATTCGGTTTCCGGTTAAAATCGGGACGGTTTAAATTGGACGGTTTCCGGTTTGACCGGAAAACCGGGACCGGATTTCCAGCCCTAACCCTTACAAGACTATTTGTTATTGATGATGACGAATCCATTATCTATCGCACATTTTTCTCTCCGTTAATGTTGCCCGATATCGACTGATCCAGAACATAGTAGAGTACTGGGCCGCATTTTAGAAAATTAGACACCATAATAAAAAAATGATTTTTTTTGTACAATGTCAATTGTACAAAGATGGTTTTTTAATTAGCGAATTCATCGATAATGGAGTCTACACACATACCAATAGCATACTCTCTTTCAAAGAAAATAGTTAAGCAATTGACGAGAAACTCATTGCTCATTTAGTTGCGCAAATCAGTTTTCACACGTTTCATTGTTGAAAAGGTTCTCTACATAGTAGTCGTTGAAACAAGCAACGTCAAGACTAGACAAATCAATCGACTAATCAATTGTATTGTGTGTCCATCCCTATATCCACCAGCTCTAGTATTTTTTGAAGGAAACAAACCTCGTATTTCTTTTAGTCTTTTAGGTTTTATTGTTTATTTTTTTAGACGAAAATCAATAGAGCTAGAATTTTTTGGCTAAATTTATGGTAGTTTTCTGAATATGTTGATCTGAACCATTTTTCTTGCTACACACAATTTTATTATAAAATAACACTGAGCCAAATATCTAAAATCGAAAATTTTGTAAGGGCTATACTAACTCCAGACCCAGAGGAGGGTTGGGTCGCGGTCCGGGGTGACCACCCCTGGATCCGCCGTTGTTGCCCAAGGATGAATTCCATATACTTTGTCATGCACATTCATGTGCTTAGCTCACCGGGATTCCAGCAATAGACTTCTTGATCACGAAAGGCTCTGATACCATATCAAAAGCCAATTGGTTACAATAACGCGAATTGTCAGTAGATATTCAATTATGAACCTTATACCATTTGCTAACATTATCAGCCAATATCTCTTTCATATTTTACATACTTTGAGAAATTAATTTTTGAATCAAGTATACCATAATCAGACTACTATAGCATTTTTATACGATTATGGTATAATTTTCTTTACTGTCACAGTAAATGATGTTACTATTAATCTATCTTTAGTAGATGTCATTTTAAATAGCACAATTAATCCAACTTTTTTTAAAACAAATTTGAAAAGTTGAGTAAAAACGAATATGATATCATCCATTAAAAACTAATGAGCAATTAGTTATGCATATTACGTATAACTTGCGGGTTATACACCTGATTTATTCCCCCTCAATATACTCTATAACATACTGTACGCTCTCTATCAAACACGGATCACAGCAAACTTAAGAAGAAAAAAGCGCCATCACTCAACGAACACTAAGAATTATGGTCTTAGGCTGTTGATATAAATTAATATTCAACAATAATAAAAACGTTTAACAACTCAAATTATTCGGACCAATAACTCTAATTATTGAAACCAATTTTTAACTCTTATCGCAAACCAACCTTCCACACGATAATAAATTAATAATGTATAGAATTCCACAGCTTCTACTTTCTTCCAAATATTTGATGAGAATGCATTGTTTTCCACTCTGATCTTCCTATCCAAATATGCTCCCAATCCGGCCTTATCCGTCGCACATTCCCAACATTTTTGTATCAAGATGGATCGCCATGCCTTTCAATGTATCTCACTTCGTGTATATAGTTTGAAACTAAATAGCCCTTTCTATTAGTACGATATTATCCGCGCGCTTGTACTTTCTTCTGCCAGCCAACTCATCACGATGCAACGTTTCTCCCTGTTATTGTCGCTATTCCTCATAATTAGCGACGGAAGCCTCCCCGGCGGCGGTGGCCGGAGTATGATCATCCCAACTGCTCACGCTACCGTTTTCCCGGAATGCACGGCTCCCAACGGGCGTCCTTGTAGCGGGGAAGACTTCTTTAGCACGACGACGCAGGATGACGTACTGACGGCCGTCCAAGGGTATTCAGGGTGCCGGCGACGGTCTGACATCTACGACGGCGGTCAACCGATATTGGTCTACGGACATTCTTCTTGTGATAACTACGATAGCGACGACCGCTGCGTTAACTGCTTGAGTGAGGCGGCGAAAATGATACGGAAGAACTGCCTTTACAAAGCTGGAGCTCAGTACGCGTCGGAGCATTGTTGTATTAGATATGAGACCTACAACTTCTGTTCAACTTAATTAAGAGTTTTTTTTATTTATGACAATGGATGTTGTGTGAAGTACAAAGGAGAACTATAAGCTCCCGGCGGTGGTGTATTAAACACCGCATGTCACCTCTGTTTTCTCTCTGTTTTTCCTCTTCTAGTGTCATTCTTTTCATGGCGGTGAGTCGAGATATCAGATTGAAAATCTTGTTTTTCCCTTGTTCCCAATGGTCTTCTCCTCAGACGACGGCGGCTTTTCCTTGTCAAGCGTCGCTTATCCGCTGCGCCACCATTTCAACCTTCGTTGCGCAGCCGTTTCAACTAGAGACTCCAACGATGCCGTTTTTCACCTTCTTCACTTGATTGTTCTTTCTTTTTCGCCAAGTCTGTAATGTTTCCCTTCCAGGCTTGAGAATGGAACTTGTCTTCTTCACTTTTGATCTGCCTATATAAGGCAGAAATTGCAATGAGAAAAGACAGATTTTTAGGGTTTTCAATTCACAAACAACTCTTTTGTTATGGTATCAGAGCTTGTGATAAAACCCTAGCCGCCACTCCTCATCTGCAATGGCTGAAAACCAAGCTCACAAACACCCGTTGAGCCTCAGCCTCAGCCTGCACAACCTGTGGATCCCCTGTCTGATCCCTACTTTCTCCATGGCTCCGAGCAGCCTGGATCTCTCCTTGTGGCCGAGAACCTCACCGCCACGAATTACAATGACTGGAGCAAGGCTATGTTCAACGCTCTTGCTGCCAAAACAAGATTGGTTTCATCAATGGCACCATCCCTGAGCCTGCTGCTATAGATGACATGCATGGAGCATGGTTTCGAAACAATGTCATGATTTTAAGCTCGATTCAACCGTCTTCCTCTGTCAAAATTAGGAAGACAATTCTCTCCAGCAAGACTGCTCTAGAAGCGGGGGAAAGCCTGCAAACTCGTTATGGATCTGGTGATCTCATCCGCATTGCTGAACTTGAAGAAGCCCTGTCCTCTCTTCAGCAAGGTAATCAAACTATTACTGACTATCATGGTCGTCTTATAACTCTCAAGGATGAGTTAGAGAACTATCAGCCCTTATTACCTTGTTCTTGCACCCCAACCAGCTACATTAACTGTGCTGCCATGACTAAAGTCTTTGAATACCATGAAACCAGTTATGTTATCAAATTTCTCTGTGGCCTCAATGAAAACTTTTCTGGGATAAGGTCACAAGTTCTCTTTGGCGATGAGTTACCAAATATAAACAGGGCCTTCCAACGAATGCTTCATAATGAGAGACAGATCTATGGCACTCACTCTGCCAAGTCAGTTGCTTCTTTGCAATATGATGTTTCTACATTAGCCATCCAAGGTTCCAACCTCAGGGGTAACTCCAAACCTCCTTACTGCACATTTTGTAAAAGGGAAGACCATACAGAAGACATTTTCTTCCAGAAGTATGATTGGCCTCTAGGCATGTCCAGGCCTTCTTCCTCTACCACTGGTCCCCCACTCATCTGCAATTACTGCAAAAGAAGGGGTCACACAGAAGACAAATGTTTTTCAGGATAATGGCTACCCTTTAAACTTTGTTCCCAGGAATCAAAGTTCTATTCCTCCAAGGTCAAGACCGGCAGCAAATTCTATCCATACCACTTCTAATGATGATGAAGTCAAGTTGTCCAGGTCTGATTATGACAAACTGATGAGTTTAATGCAGTCCCAGGAAGCTCCTTCTTCATTTTCTGGTGCAGCCTATATTAAACCCACAGGTACCAGGTCTGCACTATCATCACAAATTCCTATTAAGGATGTTTTCAATTCCACACAACCACGTTGGATTGTTGATACAGGTGCCTCAGACCACATAGTTTGTTCCTTGCATTACCTTACAAATCCTACTCCCTTGATAAATGTTTTCATTACTCTTCCCACTGGCCAGCAAGTTCAAGTCACCCATTCTGGCACGGTTGTTTGCAATGATGAGTTGGTCTTGACTAATGCCTTGTTTGTTGCCCACTTCACATTCAACATCATCTCTGTCAGCAGATTAACATCAAACAATACTACCTAGAAGCTCCTCTTCTACCTAAGTTGATCTCTGTTGCTTCTACCTCCAACTTTGATCTTTGGCATTTTAGACTAGGACATGTCTCTCATTCTAAAATCTCAATCCTCAAACAATTTTGTACCTCTATCTCTACTCAGAGAGATCAACCTTGTGATGTTTGTCATTTTGCTAAGCAAAAACGACTTCCTTTCCCTTCAATTCATTTTGTAACTGAATTTCCTTTCCAACTTCTCCATGTTGACATTTGGGGTCTCAACCCTGTTCCATCTTATGATGGTTTAAGTACTTTCTTACTGTGGTTGATGATTTTTCAAGAATGACTTGGATCATTCTGCTCCAACTTAAGTCAGAAGCCATACCAAAATTAATATCCTTTTGCAATCAAATGGAGAGACAATTTCAAAACAAAATCAAAACCATCAGGAGTTATCAAGGAAAAGAATTCTATATGCAAGATTTTTTCAACTCCACATGAATCATTCATGAAATGTACTGTGTTGAAACTCCACAACAGAACAGTAAGATTGAGAGAAAACACCAGCACATATTGGTTGTTGCTCGAGCTCTCGAGTTTCAAGTAGATTTGCCACCTGCTTTCTAGGGAGATTGTGTAAAGCATGATGTCTTCCTCATCAATAGAGTTCCATCTCCCACTCTATCCAACGAAACTCCCTTTCAAATCCTCCATTAGAAACCACCTGACCTCACTGAGTTAAGAGTCTTTGGATGCCTTTGTTACGCCAGTACACTTGCTAACCACAGGACTAAATTCCAACCTTGTGCTAGAAAAGCAGTCTTTCTTGGTTACACAGGTGGCATTAAAGGATACAAACTCTATGACCTTTCCACTCATGACATATTTGTCTCCAGAGATGTCGTTTTCTATGATTCCTTTTTTCCTTACAAATCCAATCCACTAGATGATCCTACTCCTTTTCCTAATAATCTTTTCTATCATATTCCTTCTTCCATGTCTCATCTCCTCCACGATGACACACCTACCACCCTTCCAATAACTTCAGATCCTACCCCTGCAAAAGCATCCTCTCCAAGCACAACTTCATCTCCAAGTAGTCCTTCCCCTACACCATCTTCTCATCCTACTCCACCTTCACCTCCACCACCACCACCACCACCACCACCACCTGCACCAACCACTCATCCTATTCGCAGGTCAGATAGAACACACAAAAGGCCACCTCATCTAGTACAAAACTACCATTGTTTTCTTTCACAGGGTCCTAGCAGCATCAATCATTCAGCTCTGCAACGAATCACAGACAAAATGTACTCTTTCTCATCTATGCTCTCCTATGACAACTTAAATCCTAACCATAAAAATTTTCTTCTCAATATGTCTGCCTACCAAGAACCTCATGCCTATAAAGAGGCCTCTCAAATTGATGTTTGGAATCAAGCTATGCAGCATGAGATCAAAGCTCTTATCAAAAACCACACCTGGGATGTGGTTTCTCTTCCAAAAGGGAAGAAACATGTTGGCAAAAAATGGGTCTACAAAGACAAATTCCTATCTGATGGTTCTCTTGAAAGACACAAAGCAAGGTTAGTTACTAAAGGCAACACTCAATAAGAAGGTTTGGATTTCCAGGACACCTTTGCTCCTGTGATTAAAATGACCACAGTGAGAACATTTCTTGCTATTGCAGCAATGAGGAATTGGCATATTCACCAATTGGACGTGAATAATGCCTTCCTCCATGGTGACCTAGAGGAAGAGGTCTATATGACCCTTCCCAAAGGCTTCATTCTTCCTACTGACATTCCCAACCCAGTCTGTCGTGTAAGAAGATCACTTCATGGATTAAAGCAGGCTTCTAGACAGTGCTTTTCTAAACTGACGGACACTCTACTTCGAGTTGGTTATGTCCAAAGTAAGGTTGATCATTCCCTTTTCTACAAAGCCACTGATACAAGCTACACTTGTATACTGATCTATGTGGATGATCTAGTCTTGGGAGGCAATGATCTTTCAGCCATACAAGCATTGGAGGAGGCTTTGCATACAGAGTTCAGTATTAAAGACTTAGGCAATTTGATGTTATTTATAGGGATTGAGGTGGCAAGAAGCACAACAGGCATTCACTTATCTCAGAGAAAATACACACTTGAGATCACCGAGCAGGCCAATGTTCTCGACTCCAAATTTTTCTCTACCCCCATGGATTACAAAATTCATCTCAGCAATGCTCCTAATGCTACTTTTGAGGATCTTGAACTACACAGAACCCTGGTTGGGAAGCTCATCTACCTCACCACAACTCGTCCTGACATCAGCTATGCAACTCAACAATTGAGTCAGTTCATGTCTTCACCAACAGACATTCACTACAAGGCTGTTCTTCGAGTTATCTGTTACCTGAAAACAGCTCCAGCAACAGGTTTGTTCTTTCCATCCAAAGGGACTTTTCAATTGAAAGCCTTCATAGACTCTGACTGGGAAGCTTGCGTCGACTCACGTCGCTCCACCACTAGTTTCTGCATCTATCTGGGCGACTCCTTAATATCCTAAAAAACAAAGAAACAACTTACTGTCTCAAGATCTTCGTGCGAGGCAGAGTATAGAGCACTTGCATACATATCATGTGAAATTTAGTGGCCACAGTACCTGCTTCAAGATTTCAAAGCATCATCTTCAGCACCAGCAACCCTATACTGTGACAATCATAACACAATTCATATTGCGAAGAATCCCACCTTTCATGAATCAACCAAGCACATAGAGCTTGACTGTCATTTTGTTCGAGAAAAGCTGCAATCTGGCCACCTCAAGCTTCTCTACATTTCATCCACTCATCAGCTGGCAAATCTGTTCACCAAACCCCTGTCTCCAGCGCCATTCACTTCATTGATGTCCAGCTTGGTGTGCGAAATCTCTTCCAACCAGGGGGGGATCAGATTGAAAATCCTGTTTTTCCCTTGTTTCCAACGGTCTTCTCCTCAGACGACGACATTTCCTTATCAAGCTTCGCTTATCCGCTGCGCCACCGTTTCAGCATTCGCTGCACAGCCGTTTCAACTAGAGACTCCAACGATGTCGTTTTTACCTTCTTCTTTTGATTGTACTTTCTTTTTCGCCAAGTCTTTAATGTTTCCCTTCCAAGCTATCAAACAAGCTTGAGAATGGAGCTTGTCTTCTTCACTTTTGATCTGCCTATATAAGGAAGAAATTACAATGAGAAAAGAGAGATTTTTAGGGTTTTCAATTCACAAACAACTCTTTTGTTACGAGATGAATGTGAGTCGAGAACATCTATCTTTCACGAATTACATCAGAAATGAACCCCGGTGGGTAGCCCATTAATATTCTTTGGATCAACGAAATACTTTGTTAGAACAGAGGAGAACAGGGGAGCCTCTGTTTTCCTGAGGGAGACAATCCAACAATGGCATAATCAGGGAATTTAATTCCGGTGATTAGATCAATCAATTGTTTTTCATTCATCATCGGGTCAAGGAATTAGAGAAATGAAACAATATTTGCCATGGCATCAATTGTATCAAAACCAACCAACATTCAGTAGGCTCTGTTTTCTCTCTTCCCAGCCATGGCGGAAGATAGCGACTGACTCGCACGAAACTACACCATAATTAAACCCCAATTAGAGCCCAAGTTTTAAAACTCTAATCGGGTGCAGTATAGGGCAAGTATCTATAAATCGACCCGGGCCGGTCCGTCTACTCCTACTTCAGTTGTTGAAATCATTATCTAGCGATAAAACTTTGGTTTAAAGGTTTGCCAATTGAAATGAAAGAAAGCAAAAGTAATTTGGTTTTGAAAACTCTTTTGTGGGAAAGTCACTTGGGTTTCGCTTCCCCCTTAACCGCTACCATGCTACGTGGGTTGGAACAATTCCCTTGGGCACGTTAATCGTGAACCGCAGAGGAAAGCGTATGTGGTCGGAGACCACAGTCTCGATTGCTAAACTGAGGTGAGGATGAAAGGTTGTGTCACTCGACTCTCTCGGTTTAGACAATCGGTAATCGGCTTACTTCCTCACTCAACTCTAGGTCGGACGGTTTAACCACGATTAATCGATTTGTTCAATTCAATATTGAGGTTTGCCCTAACTCAACCTAGTTTAGGTGGCTTGGAAAGCGGAAGGAAAACCAACTCGATTGAGTCTCCCTTAAAAAGGGGGATTTTCCTCTCTAAACTAGGCTAAGTTGGCAAATTAGATTACTAGCACCTAAATGCACAAACTTAGGGGTGCTAAGCACAATTATGCACAATCCCTGGGATGCTAAGCACAACATATGCACAAACCCTAAGTTGCTAAGCACAAACATGCAAAATCATGGTGAAAAAGACCTCAAACATTAAATTGAACAATGCCCAATATCAATCATCCAAACCACATACAAGAAAACTAAATGGTAGGGTTTAGGGTTTCACTACACCCAAGTGGGAGGAGGACTACTCCATGGAAGAAGTGGGAAGAACAAAGGAGAAAAAGGTGGAAACCATCTTTTGGGGATGCCTCCTCTCTTCTCCAACCTTGAGCTGGGATTTCTTTGGGGAAATCTTCCCAAAACCTCCTTTGAAGCCAAACCCTAACCTCTTCTTCTCTTTTGGTTCTGTTTCTCTCACTAAAATGCAGAAGAAGTGTTTCTCTCACAAAAGTGGCTCTCCCTTTCTCTTTCCTTGCAGCTCAGCTTTTAAACACGAGAAGAGCTGAGTTCATGGCCGTGAACCATCAAACGCGTCTATGAACTCATGCCTTGCGCCAAAATGCTCTGCATCGATCACGACAGTTCACGGGCAACTGCTTGTGTTCACGGTCTTAGTGACCGTGAACTCGCCTAGCGTCAGTAACCTTCAACTTGGCTCTGGATGCATTGCGCTTCACGGTCCAATCCACTTCTTCACGGTCTTGCACGACCGTGAACTCCTGCATTTAGCCGTGAACTTGCGTTTTTTCACCTCTTCTCCCGGTTTTCGATCCTTTTCGCCAATCCTTCGACCCCGAGGCTGGTTCCACCTATTAAATCATGAAAAGCACTCAAACACGAAGAACTTTGCGTAAAACCAACCTCTAATGAGAGAATTTGGCACAATCATCTAAGCAAACCGAGGGCAAAATATGTGGAGTTAGGCCCGAATCAACGACGGATTGAAACTCAGTCGGTCATGAAAGACCAGTTCCCCTTTTTCTAAATATAAAAGTGAAGAAAGATAAAGGGCTCTCTTAATTAAAACTACTCCCTTCTTCCTCATCTCTTCATCTTCTTCTTCTTCAACGACACGGGGAGTCAAAGAAAGTACGAAAGCACACATATCATTGAAAGATGAAAACTCTCAAGATGGTGTGTCAGCGACTCGGTCGATTGAACGGTACTTGGTTAAGATGGCGTAACTGAACAGGTAAGTAACTCAAACAGACTCCTCAGTTTCCTTTTTTTACTTTATTCCAATTTAGTCATTTTTTATTACCTTTATCTTTTTAATTAACCGCTATACATTTCCTTCATTATTTATTAGTAATTTTTATATGTTTTCTTTTGATACTTACCCTCCCTTTTATTCATTTTATGTGTCAATTTCGTCCGTTTTATTTTTTTTCTTTTCTTTAACTATTCTTAAAAAAATTAATTTGACATAGTTTTGGATTCGGTGTATCCGACTAAGCCTTAATGGCTTGTTTAAGTCCATTTGGTGGAGCTTAGTTGTCCTACAGTGGGGACGCTTGTGTGTTTTGTTTGTTTTTTTTTTTTTGGGCATGCAGAAGAGCTCCTGTTATTGGAGAGACTTCCTCAGACAGGTGACTTGGCTCATGATCGGGATGGAACTATCTTGCAGGATGCTCAGAGCTCGGCTTCTCTCTGTAGTTGGGTTTCTTACTGTTTTGTTCTCCGCTGTCTCATTAGGGTTGCCCATCATGTGGCATAAAAGGCCCTCTCATCGGGAGTTCGACTATTGGTCGACTCCCGCGCTCTTTTTATTTTCTCTGTATGTCTGTTTTTTTAACAATTGACTTTGCGGAAAAAAAAAATGAACGGTATGCGGTGCTAATTGCCATCCGTCATGGGAGCAAGTTCCAGCTGGTTGATTCTCCCATCTAATATCTAAGGGTGGAGGAGATTGGATTTTATCTACTCCACGTTGGGGAAAGAATGGGGCGAAAATTTCCAACTCGTGATGGAGCACGGACAAGAGCGGGTTAGAAATTAGTGAGCAGGGCAGAGCAAGAATTTAGCAATACTCGCCCCAAGCATGTCCCGTTGTCATTTCTAATTTTCGTGTTCCAAGATAATTAAACCATCATTACCTCTTGCCATCTTCACTAAGTTAAGGTGGTGGCTCAGGAACCTTGTCCTGCATGTACCGACACATGACTATCATATGTTGATATTAACGTAAAATTAGACTTCGAATCTATGGTCATGAAATTCTCAGGAAACAATACCTTGTATCATCTCTGTTCTGCATTATAATCCATGGGTTTATGTGGATTTTGTTCCACAACATCATAATGCTTTAATCAAATTAGATGGCTCGTAATGCTCATATAGAATGGGTTATTATTGTGAATCTTATTTCTCCAACGATGTAATGACAGATAAAATGACTCTTTGTTGAAATGAGTAAAGTAGAATGACCAAAATGGTTAATAACACCCATAAAATGAAAGTTCAGGTATCATATTGAGAAATTGGAAACGTCCATGGGCCAAATGTGATTTTTATGTTTAACCCCTAAAATCAAAACCCCCAGTTGGGCTGGAAATAGAGAAGCCCTAGAAAGTTTTAAACTTTGCAACCTCTGACGGACAAAGCATCTCTCGACCAGTTCCTTCTCATGCAATCCAACTCGATCCCCTTCATATAAAAGTGAAAACCCCCACCGAATCAACCGTCCACTCTCTTCTTCTTCTTCTTCTTCTTCTAATTCTAATCGGCGGGAAGAGGAGGATTCGCCAGTTTCGTTAGCGGCAGAAACAGGGTAAACTTCCATGACTCGTGGTATATTTGTGAATGTGTTGGTGGAAGTTTGAGTTATCTTTGGTTCTGCGTCGCCATTGTTTGTCCATTGACCTCTGAGTTCCTTCCGATGTGCGTGGAATTTGATCTAGCAGTGGTCTTGGGTTATCTGGGTGCCGGTCGGGTGTTATCTTTTATTTCTTGGTGGTTCAGAATTCGAATTACGGTGATCGCTAGGATAATTTATAGGTGATTCGGGCGGTTTCTTCCCAAATGCATGTCCAGGGGTAGTATTAGTTTGACAGGAAATCCAATTTTAGGATCGTCACTAAAGCTTGACAGTTCATATGATCTTGACATGTTACATTGCTCCACTGACTGAAGTATGCTGAACTTTCTTGTTTCATTCTGTTGTTGGGTTTTGTGATACAGGTTTGATTTGTACCAATGGCTGATCCCGGAACTAGCAAACCGAAGTTGCAGGTAAAGAATTTGATGATGGTTCATCTGGGCATGTTAAAGATGCCACCTTGAGACCATTTTCCCCCTAATTTTCTGATGAACTTGCCTTTTGTTTTGATTTGGTTGTTCCTTTTCTTCCAGGTCTACTTAGATGCAGCGCATGCAAAGTGCAGCATATGTTTAAGCATATGGCATGATGTTGTCACCGTCGGTCCTTGCCTTCATAATTTCTGGTGTGTAGATTTCATTCTTAACTTGAAAGTTTCAGTGAAGGAAATGGCATTGTTTCTTGATTCACATGATTGTTAGTATATTGGATAGCTGAGTAAGTGGAGGCCCTTTGAACTCGTTTGGATCAATGATCTAAATAGAAGGATAGGACCTTGAGCTACCTGTATTAAAGTTAATATTCTTCAAACCAAACTGTAGCAAAGTTAATTTTACTTACCAGCTATTTTACACATTTGGTCTTTTGCATCCTCCTCCGCTATTGATGTGATTGAATGGTATTATGATGATTGGCTGAAGGCAACTTTTGTCATTTGTAATTGACTTTTTGATTAATAATTCAAAGTTATCGCTTTAATCATGTTTGTTTCTTAGGATGCAATTCAACTGAACCATAGATGCTTAGTATCCAGAAACAATCCTGTTGGAGTAGAAAGATTAGAGCAAGATGGATTCATACAACTTTTTTGACTGTGAGATACTTCTGGCCAGATCACCCTTCTTTTTGTTTGTGGGATATGGGTGCAGCTCAATTTGATGTCAACATGTGGGCGATTAACAGTAGTTAGTCCCTATTGGTTTCATTTCATGTAATACTGAGTTAAACTACTGAAACTAAATTGGTTTGCCTCTTTCCCCCCTGTACATTTCAGTAATGGATGCTTCTCTGAATGGTTAAGGAGATCACAGAAGAAACAGTTGACGGTGCTGTGTCCTCAGTGTAGAGGAGTCGTGCAATTTGTCGGGAAAAATCACTTTCTACATAATATAGAAGAGGTGGCATCATATTTCACATTATGTGTGCACATAATCTGCTGGAAATTATTTCTATCATCGACTTACTACACCTTGAAGCCGATGTAGTGATATTTCTTTGAAATTTAGTTCGACCCACTGCATTCATCCTTGCTAGTTTTCAAGTTTCATCTGTCCTATCTTTCAATTTGTTAAAATGTTCTCTTTTTCTTGCTTGGTTCTTGTTTCATATATTTAAACATATTTCAGTTTTGCAAAGACTAGTGGGACCATTGTCCCAAGTTCGTAGCATTTCCGACATCTTTGGTCTTCTGAAGCTGATGTTTTTAGGATTATAATTCCTTCTTTTTTCAGTTCCCATTAATTAACTTTCTATTTCTGGAATTTCCCAGAAGACTTTGATAGGCAGAGTGGGGCAATAAGAATGCATATGCCTGAACAATATTCCGCTATAATTTGTGTGGTCATATTACTTGTTTAATTGTTAGTGAACAGTTTTTAGGCATCATCAATCATTATACTCTGCTCATCTTCCTTATAAAAAAAATATACTCTGCTCATCTTGAATTTTTTGGTCAATTTGAGGGTTCATACTTTTGCTTGCTGGCATTTTTTATGCACATTATTTTTTCCTGGACTTGGAAATGTAAACAAAGATAGAAACAGCGTCTGCTTGTTTTGTAACTTCTGCCATCATCTTCAACATTTTATCGGTCATGGATAATATATCAACAGCAGGCTTCACGTCTGATCAATGGTCTTGATTTCGAATTCTAGTGGAATTTACTGTACAATATTTCTTTTACCATTTTAGGACATAATACAGTCTGATTCTTCTCTAAAGAGGTCAGAAGAAGAAATTGCTCAGCTCGACTCCTATGCAATGATTCACTCAAACATTGTAAGTATCTTTACCACCTATAGCAGGCTGTATAAGAAATTGCTTCAGTGTTTGTGGAATTATAGTAGCTGGAGCAATATGTTGCCTAACCCTAGATGTATTTCCCTTCTGGTGGTTGCCTCATTAAAAATATTCTGCCTAGCTCATTATGGTTTCTCATAGTGCAATGCCTCTGCAATTGGTGTTCAGATGATGAAAGGATATTTATATGCCTTCTCTGTCGAATACAATAATAAAGAACATAGTTGATCTTTGGTTTTGATATATGGATGTGACACAAACACATGCGCAGCATGCTGGAATATTGAGCTTTGGGAAAAAATCAATTCCAATAAAAAAATGCTACGTTAATGCCTTTATGAGCTGCACATTCTAAACTAATAAGTTAATAAGTGATTGCTCCATATGGTTAACTCTTTTTTTGAAGGTTATTGAGACTGGAAAGAGTCGTGAGCATAAAAGGCCACGTGTGGAATCAGAAGTTCCTGATGAGGATTATGCTGAGTTCTTGGAAAGATTTGGTGTTGCTTCTCGTCAATGCTTGCAATGTGGTAAGATTCATCACTCATCCATTTTTATTTTCAATGTTATAGGTAGTTTACCACAAAAAAAGGAATGTTTGACGTGATAATATAAGTACCTGTTTGGTCAGGATTAGTCAACTACGAAGTTTATTCAGTCTTCTTCAAGTCAGACTGCGTGGGCTTGTGAATCGACATTTCTTGTCTTCATGATTTCTTATGTAATAAACTTCTTGTGTTTGCTCTATTTTCTACAATCATCAGGCACAGAGTATAATGGATTCCGCTGCAATGAGGATACAGTCCACTTAGAATGTCATGCCTGTGGTCGTGAAATGCCTCTGAGAGTCGATTCTGATGCACCTCAACTCTGTATGTGAAGGGTTTCTTAGCTTTTGCTTTTTATTCTTTTCATGTAATGATGGCCTTTTGAAAACTACGTCAAACAATCTCAAGCTGCCTTTGGATTTCTACTTGCCTGTTGCTTCCTTCTCTGGTTTGTTTCAAGGAGAATGATTCCCTGCATATGCAGTTCTGAACTAAGAAAATTCATTATGTCATCATGTTTGATTATCTTGGTTCTCCTTAAAGTAACTAACTTTGACTCGAGTGGTATCTCATCTGCTTAAATGGCAGACATTTGGCTGTGAACTGATTTTATTGCTTCTTCCTTTTATTCAGGTCTAGGATGTGACAGACCTTTTTGTGGTGCTTACTGGCCTGCTCAGGGAAATCTCCTACGTTTTCCATGCAGCTTAGATAGTTTCAAACCGGTATTTGTTATCCTTCTAAAACTTTGGTGTCTGATCTGGGAATTATGACTTTTCAGATGACTAAGACCGTTGCTTCTGTGTCGGTTTGCGGTATTTGCCATGTTTACTTTTTATTTGCTAGAATATTGTAAACTGGCTGAATATAGTTGACAACCTTATTGTTATGTTTTTCACAATTGATTATTCAAGTTGGATAATCTTGTTGCATTTCGTGGCCTTACAAAATGCTCGTCATAATTTTATCTGTTTTTATCTTTTGCAGATCTCAGATCGGTCCATCTCAACAATTCCACATTTGGCTCATGAAACTAATCAAGTTGAGAAGGATGTATGTATTTCCTTCCAGCTGGTTTTTATATTGCTGTTGCTCGTCAAAGTTAAATTCCTGATAGGTGAGCACATTATTTGTAGGTTACGGATAGGTGTATTAGACAGATGGGGAGAACACTAACTGATGTTGTCTCAGAATTGATGGTGAAGTTGGACAACGGAGAAATTGGTAATGTCCATCGATGCGTTTGTCCATTTTGATTTTTTTTTCCAGAACCTGCTAATGGTGGAAAACTGCTCATGTTTGATGTTAAGTTTGGCTCTGGGGTTTCTCAGTGAATCCTTTAACAGTTTGCAGGATTGTTTTTTGATTTAAAACTGAAATCTTAGAACTTCAGGACTTGCCAACATGTGTTAGGTTTATGTTCTTTGAGGAGGATCCTGTGAGGTAGTGTATTTTTTCCCCAGGCAAACTAGAGTCCAGGAAGAAGCCATAATTATGCGCTGTTTAGAATTTGAGCAATAGCTAACAGATTAGTTAGTACACGGACTAAGAATCTATGGCCTGGATAGTTAGATCTGTGCCTGATTATTCAAGTTATTCTGAACTGAGCAGCAACTTTGGATTTTTTATAGATCGATCAAGGCTGCAACTAAAGCATGCAGACACTATTTCGTCAAGTACACACGTATGCGGGTAAGTTGTTCTTTTCTTACACTGCTAAGTTTGAAAACACAGTATTCTTTGGGATGCTAATGATGGTGCTATCCTGCATGAATCGTCTAATATCTTCCACTGGGAAATTTAGTGGGTTCTGGAGATTTTATCTTATTTATCCCTTGCTGTTATATATATATAGAGAGAGAGAGAGAGCTTCGTAATTAGTCTCAGAGCAAGATATGGGGTGCATTTGGTAGCAGGCTTCTGATTGGGCTACTTCGTGGTCTACTAAATAAGCTTGCCCTTCATCATGTTTTTTGTTTAATTTGTTTGACCTTTGATGCAGTGAGTGTTACGATAAGTTGGTTTCATTTCTCTTGTACTGGTTCCGCATTGCCACTCCGAAACAAGTAAGCCTCTTTTGTTTGATCTACTTATCTTTCCAGGGATTTCCTCTGCCTCCTGGAATTTGCATCTCTCATTTACAATGCTCTGTGTTTTCAATCTAAAAAATCTCACAATTTTCTGTTCGTCATTGGCGTGCATAGCATCTACCACCGGATGCAGTTAACCGGTCTGATTGCTGGTACGGCTACGAGTGCCGGACACAGCACCATAACCAAGAACATGCTCGTAGAAGGAATCACGTCTGTCGTCCGACTAGGAGCTCAGGCAACAATGGTGGCGGTGGCAGTGGATCTGGTCCCAGCCTAGGATGATAGCAGTCATGATGCTTTTCGGGTTTCCCCTGGTATTTCTATCTGTGTAGACCAGTGTTGAAAGAAGCTGAACTATTGATATACTATTAATCGTATTATGATCATTCGCGGTGGTCTCGTAGTTCTGGTGTTGGATGTTGGATGATTGAACATCGATCCTACAGTTGATTAGAGCATTTTGAGGCTTGTGTAATATGTGACTTGATCCTTGAATGCCCACATATTGCAGTATAGGCAACTCTTCATCTGCCCTTAAATTTGTTTTTTTTTTTTTTGTATGTTTTGAGGGGTAGATTGGTGAGGGAAGAGAAGGCACGACCAAAAGCAGGGTTAGGTGAAGCATTTGGTGGAATCGATAATATATATATCCTTTGATCTTTCGCTTTCAAATTCTCTTTTCCTTCTCCTCCAACTTCTTCTAGAAGAGGAATCATAACAGGACGTCGATCCAAACCTAATCTCCTTCCATTATCTTCTCCAAAGGATTATGTAACGATGGTAACATCATATGAACACACCAACATTGCTTCTAGTCTAGCTAGAGGTATTGATGACATGTAATAGTATTGTTTCGTATTTGAATGATCTAACGTTTTCAAATATTAACGGTTGAGTCATATAATGCACATGATATATAGTATTAAGAATTTTCGGAGTTCATCCCGGTATTATTTGGAGCTGCTAGGGCATGGGAGAGGCTGAACAATAGATATCAGCTTATAGCATTTCGTAATGTATTTTTTCTGAAATGAAAGTCAGCTTATGGTCAGTTTCGGATTTCTGTACGGATTTAGTCGCGACATATCTGTTGCTTAACTCAAATGCTGGGGTTCGTGAATATTGAATCTTATATAATGCCTTACGACAAGAAAAGATGAGTACTCGTCTTTAGACTAAAATTCTCAACAACTCGGGTAAATAACTTATTAAACAACCGAAGCGACTTCCTTCTCCCTGACTTTGAACGAATCTAATGATTACAAATCGATATAATATTATCGATCTTCATCTCATCCATTCATTCAACTTTTTTTTCTCTTAAAAGAACCCTAAACAATGACCCTCAAAAAATATGATATGCACAATAATTATTTATCATACAATTAACGACCACCTTCCCTTCAACAATATGCCGCATGTCATCAATGTTTAATTCCTGCCTACTCCTATATATGCATATGTCGCCCTTCAATTTTGCCGTCGGCCGGTTGTTTGATTTCCTACCAACCGATTTATTTACTATACATTATCGTTATGCAATCTAATTCTCCCCCAACCTTTTAAATATGAGTTTCTTCGATCAAAAGTCAAGTGTTTAGAATATGTATTAGTTTGGTGATCATATAATTGCATGGGACTTGCCTTATGTGGTTAGGTATATACCTATAAATTAAGGACGTGTGTACTTCAAGTGTCACTAAATCATGTATGTATTTTTTTCTGCAAGAGTTGTCGTGGAATCACTTGTATATATTCATGCCATCATTACAATGATATCAAATAAGATGTACATTGGCAATATATGCTCAATATTATCAATTAGTATGATATTGTCTGATTTGGGTTTGATACTGCATCGAATTACTTTTTGATGATTTCCTTCTCAAATGAGATCTCATACAAATAGAGTTTGATGAACACTTATACACAAGTAGTGGATCTGGACCCACTTTTAATTTGGAATTACCTTTAAAAATAATATGTAAATATAAGTTATCCATGAAATTTAAGTCTTATAAGTAAATGACACTAACAATTGAATTACACATATTATAAGTTTTTTTTAACGATTACATAAATGATCCACGGTAAATAGAACCTATAATTTTTGATTTTTCAATTCCTATTTACTTTCAAATTCAATCCTTAAGCCCTCTCCTAGCTGACAAAGGTTGTGACAGAATCTCAAGGATTTTCGTTTGTGTACCGACCTGTAAAATTTGTGTCGTTGCTTGTCTCGTGCTCTCATTAAGTGTTGAAGGTATATTTGTCGCAATGTAGTGCATGATGAACACACTTTAAAGTCGAATAATCGTTGAATTCATGATGATTTGTTTTGTAGGATATATTAAAAGGATACATACTTGACAACTAGTTTGGATGAAGAACGTGTTTTAGAAATTAACAAAATATGGAAACGCTTCGTGGTTTCTTGTAGCATTAATGAAATTCATCTTATATTATTCACATTGGACTTGCGTTGAGTAAAATCTTGGCTATGTCACTACATACAAGAGAATATTTTCCTTGTCTATCTGATGTAACTTGCATTGTACCATAACAATCCTCCCCTTAGGACAAGATCCACAAATTTCCCCTTCGTGATCATCTTAAATGGCCGAAACCATCTTGTATCGTCAGATTTCTCGATAACAGGAAGTCCCATATGCAATCTTCTTTGATCCGATCCACTAGACATATGTGTATCTCCATTAGCTCCGCTAGATTTGGATCTCAAATACTGAGGTCATATAATAAGGGCCCGCCAAATTGGAATATATCGCCCTAATAATAAGACTCTAATACCACTTGCTAAGATCATATGCTTCAATAGTATGATACTGTCTACTTTGGACCTAGTCTACACAATTTACTTTTGGATTTTTTCCCCAAAAAACCTCATACTAATGGAGTTTCGTGGACACTTATATACATAAATCATTATTCTTGTATATTTGGTGTAGTACTTGGATTGCACTATAACAATCCTCTCCTCAAGACAAGTACCACAACCTTCATGTCCTCTCCTCAGTGATTATCTTGACCTGTCCAAACTACCTTGTAAAGTAAAGACTTTTCAACATAAAAAAATTATCATATGCAAATCTCCTTTGATTTTCTAGATAGACATATACAGATCTCCCGTTAGATCCGCCAAATGGGAATCTAAAATTCTATAATGTCGCGAATGGGGGGGGGGGGGGGGTCCACAAACTGAATTCCACTACCCAAAATTGAAATAAGACTCTAATACCACTTGATGAGACCGGATGCTCCATTATTAAGATATTGTCCATGTTGGATCAAACCAACATGAATTTACTATTGATGAGTTCATTTCTCAAAAGTCAAAAGACATCATATACTAATAGAGATGGGTGAACACTTATATACCAGATCATTTTCCTTATATATCCAATATGCACCATAACAATCCTTCATTCTCAATCTCATTTTTACTATACATGAATTCATTGGAAGTTCATTGTTAAGAATCTATTAATGATCAACTAACTAGCCATTGCTAATCACAATTATATTTCAAGAATTGCTTTGAAGCTCAACCCTCCACAAAGTGTCCTTACAAATATTTACAACATCGTACATTTGGACATATGTACACCGGCGTATATTTTCTCCTCTCCCGTAGGTTTTTTCAAAGCCGATGAAAGTTCCCGTGCAAATATGCGAAAAGCAAAACAGAAGAAACAAAAACTAAGCGTCGTTATAAAATCTAAAAACACTACTAGCCGTCGCTAAAGCTAACTTCGGCACAACCCTCGGATCTTCCGCGGCGGCCGTCTCTAATCCGCACCTAAATAACTTATTAGTGTTGCTGCTACTATTAGCACTACCTCTACTACTCTGAAACCCTAGAACATCCTTATAACACAAACATGCTCTCCCAGTCTTTGGCAACAAATCTGGCCATGAAGATGACGATGATGACGACATCGGAAGGCCGATGGAGAGATCTAAATTGATCTCTCCATCGACTGCAACATTCACCGCTTCCTCCGTCGTAACTCCAGTGTTGTCGCTGTTGCTACTGTTGTCGGTATTGCCTGAATCAGTATTGTGGCCAATCATAATTGTAAACTCTTGTGACGGACTTTGTTTCGTCGCTATTGGTTCCAACAACTGGAAGCAATTTGTATCGCCGTAAAAGAGATTGGTGGTCGGGACGATGGTGGTGGCTTGTTTTCTGTTGTTGCTATTGGTATTGGCGGTTCGTCTTGTTGTGGTAGGTCCCACGGTGGTTGTGACGGTGGTGGTCCCGGTGACGGGACGATGGGTAACGGGGTCAATTCCACGGCTATAGAGCTTTCTTTTGATGTGGGTATTCCAGTAGTTCTTTATCTCGTTATCTGTTCTCCCTGGTAATCTTGCAGCTATTAGTGACCACCTTAAAAAAAGAAAACAACAACATACTTGTGATTAGTTGAAAATTTACAATTCAGAACTAATCGAATTCGAGTTGGATATTAATGGAAGTAAAAAAAATTTTACTTCCGTGTGAAAAAATAAAATTGATGTGCATACCTTGAAAAAATAAACTAATGTGAATAATTTCATTTTTTGGTGAAAATGGATGTACATGAACAAGTACAACAAAAGTTAATGTTCATTAAATGAAAGTACAACAAACTCAATGCTTAGCTAGGTTCTGTCCTAACTCTTTGTACATGGCTAGTATATATAAATAGCTTATGGCTTAGTGTTTTTTTGTTTTTTCAATTTTAAAATTTGATTCACTTATGATAAATACAAGAAGGACGACCAACGAAATTACCATTGATAAATTAAATGAAATTAATTAATAATTAAATGATTAGTTAGCACCATACTTGTTCCCAAGCAAGCTGTGGAGGTTGATAATAAGCTCGTCTTCTTGTTCACTGAAGTTTCCTCTCTTGAGATCGGGTCTTAAATAGTTTATCCATCTCAGCCGACAACTCTTCCCGCATCGTAGCAAACCTGTATTCGACAATTCACAAATCTCGTTACTAATCTACAAAATTGGCTTTCGGGCGATCAATATATTCCAGGGTTGGACTCAAGATTGTTTCCATAGAAGTTTCACCATTTGTGAAGAAGATGGATGGATTTATAATAAGAAGAAGAAGAAATAAGTATATATACCAGCAGCCTTGGGAAGAGACCTCCAACAGCCTTCACCATGGAGCTTGATGTGGTTGATGAGGCGTTGGTCTTCCTCTTTGGTCCATGCTCCTTTGTTTGTGTGCTCTTTTTCGCAACAAGGAGATCTACCCATCACCCTATTACTACTATCTCGAAGTCTTAATTTGGACAACAAAGAAGAAGAAGAAGAAGAAGAAGAAGAAGAGAGAGAGAGAGAGAGAGAGAGAGAGAGAGAGAGAGCAAGAAATAGAAAGGAAATTTGTTGTTGTTCTTTGTGTTGGTGGTGTAACAAACATATATGTATGTGGATATGGAGGAATTTGGGGAGGGTGGGAGGAATAAATGTTTTGTAGTACAAAATTGTTAGGTGGTTGGTTTGGAGTTTGGACACTATAGAGGGAATATATAAATGGGGTGATAGGTGGGTGGTGACAAAGAGAGAATATAGATGGATGAGATGCTCCCATTTGACTTGGGACAAATAATTTACAAGAGCCCTTTGGCCTCTCTTTTGAGTCTCTAACTTTTCCCCCAAGTTAAACTTCACTATGTTATTTTTAAGGTGTCAATTGCATAAGTGGTGAGTTAACTTTAATTTTTGGTTAATAACAAATCGGTTAACAATGGTTTTGATGATCTTATCGATAAACACATCGTTGACGTTTAATACAACTAACTTGTATCGTAGTCAAACCATCCATCATCGTTACATCTGTTGTCAATGTTATTCTCCAAATTAGTATTTCAGGTTCCCTAAAATGATAGTGAAAGGACCATATATGTACTACTAGTGAACGATTTAAGTTCATATATTTGAGACTATGTTCCACATATTTGAGATCATTCACCGTAATAGCTGCATCCCCTTCATTCGAAGCTTATTAAAAAGTTGTATATGATGATGTGGCAGTTACGATAGTTATCTCAAACTTCAATGACAAATTATCACAATGAAAATTCGAGTGATTGATTTGTTAGACCATAAAGTTCTGTTGATCCTTGATGTAATTTGCCCATTATATTAGTTAGCTAACTATTTATTTCATGTGATCTAAAGAGAGGAAATGCAGAAAAGGGACATCTCTTTTGGGAAGTGGGTATTTTGACCAATTTGGTGAGAAAGGAGAAGTCGAGTGGTCTAAATTCAAGTTGAGGTTCTTAGTGCTGAATTTGGTAGGTAGAGGGTAGAGAGAAAAAGAGAGAATAGGTCTTCATGAATTTGCTGCACTTTCTTCTCCACCTGTCTCACCCTTTTCCACAATCCCCTCTCCCAAAAATCCTCACTTCTTCTCTTTTTGTTTTTGTTTTGTTCTTTGCATTTCCTCTTCATTCCAACTTTGGAATATTTGTGTGTATGGTATGACTCTGTTTTGATTTTTTTGCTCTTCCCAAACATTTTCCTTTTAAAATACTACTTCTTTTCAATTTTCTCAATTGGTGAGTCATCGTCAAGTAAATTCGATTTTCAGTGGTCTTATAAATTCCAATCGGCAATAAATTCGTAAGGAAAAAAGTAGTCAATATATGTGCAACAAAAACATGACTGTGCAACTGTATCTAACACTTGAAACGGAACGTGAGATCAAACTCGTAAACCATACGAAATATTCAATGACTATGACGGTAAATTGTGAGAGCAATACGTCATGTCTGATAGGGTTGCAATAACATATAGATTCACTTCCTGAAATTTTGAGGAAAAAAAATGAATACCTTGACTCACCAACGAAATTGAACGCTCGAATTGTAAGTCCACTTTCATAAGTTTGTCGAACATTGACGGAGGTTAGTTGATATTCAGTCAGAAAAACGTCAAAAGAGATTGAATTTGGTTGAACAGATTTAGGTTAGTTCATTCAAGAACAAAAAACAAAAATATGTGACGTCAAATTTCTTTCCATTTTCATTTGTTCTTATTAGAAGAAGTCAAATTATGGACAAATTCCAACCTCCAACTCTCTGTTTTATGATCTGTTGGCCCAACCTTTGCCATGGTCTTCCTTGCTGACCACCCTTTCATTTTCAATACAAATTTGGTCAAGAAAATTAGCAAAGGGACAAAAGGAGGGTCCAATTTGGGTTATAGTCTTCTAGAAGATCATACCCACCCTTCAACTTACTCCACTCACTCTTTTCAATTTCAAGAGAGAAAAAACATTGTAAAGGGAGGTTAATAATTAATCTTTGGAACTTATCTTCCATAATCCATTTAGTTATTCTTCATGACTCGGTTTCATACCAAATTATGTTTTTATCTTATATAATTTCTATTAATGGATCCTTCAAAATTCGTGCATGTATCAACATACTATCGTTCAATTATCCAAATACTTACTTCAGATAACATGTCAAGACCCATTTTCCCAATCTTATACTTCATTCTTTACATGTTGATCGATTATCAAATACATACTCTGATAACATGTCAAGACTATTTTTTCTTCAATAACTCAAATTACTAGTACATATAAAAAAACCCGTATCTTATACACCATTCCTTACATACATATTGATCCCAACAAATATGTACCGTGTATGGAAAAATTCATCACAACTAGTACAGTTAAAATCGCGCTTTAAATTTTAAAAGCTTACGCTTTTACACTTTCAGGTTACCAAAACGCTCTTATGTAGAATCGCGTTTTCCCCTTACAAGTGTATTCGGTCTTTGCTTAAAAGCTTACAATTTTACGCTTCTAAATCACCAAAACGATTTCACGTAAAATCTACATTGTTAACTGAACTGATCATAAATTTCTTTCTCAGTCTCACCACAAACAAGAATATTGACTTCCAACAAAGATCTTGATTAACTATAGTGTCGACATTATAAAAAAAAAAAAAAACTTTAGTGTCGAATCTCTCTCCTTTTTTTTTAATTAACACAGTGACCTCCATATGAAAGATTATAATTTACTCTATGTATACGTGGAGCTTGGACGACTTTCTTGTGGGTAGTGGTTGCGATTCCTAAGTGTAAAATAGGTGAACGTCGTTTTCGCCATCGCGCCAACCGAACCCATTTTGCAACACAATTCATGCATTGCTCTTTCTGCTTGATTTTCCACACACATATGTCACACATGGAAAAAAAATCCCAAAGTATATAAGTTTTTAACAAAAATTTCCATAATACGTAAGTTATGAAAACAATTTCAAAACTACACATGTTTCACATTCACCGTTTTTGACAAACGCAGTGAATATAATCACCGCGTTTAAATAAAACAGTGACGTGTTCACCGTTTTTGTTTAAAACGGTGAGTAACGAATGGATAGCTCGGCCCAGAAGGATCAACATGACCACCACCACCAACCTCATCTTCTCGCTCATGTGAAGTACGCCCTGCTCGAATGGTATTCTCGATTTCTGCCCACTCAGGCCCCCAAGCAGGCCATTGAACGCCATCGGCAGGTTGATCCTGTTGCGAGTATTCTTCCGATGGCACCCATCCTGCACTACTACCTCCACCGTAGTTGATTGAACTACCACCCTCTCCGTAACCTCCTGTATAACCACCTCCTTCGTAGTTGCTCGAACTACCACCCCATCCGTACCCTCCTGCAAAACCATCATCATAAGAATACTGGTGAGAATGAGTTTCACCGATTACCTCGGTCTCAACATACACCTCTGCTTGTCGCATCCCATTATCGCTTAGGAACTGTAACATCATCGTAACCGCGTCATCATCGTTTATGACAACTTCTTGGTACACAAGCCTGCCAGTACTCATACATGGATACCGATAACTAATTTTACCAAGTCTCGTCTGTCCGCTCGTACAAACCCTGTCTGCACAAATATCACAGAGTTCTTGAAAATTGAATCGCGACTCAATTTTCTGCATAGTGGATACACCGTCCTCATAATCAATCCCTATGTCAGAGTTTGTAACCCTTCCATTCCACCGAATAATAAGCTGAAACTTTTTGAATTTACCCATATCTACAATTTACAATAAGTAACTATTAGCATAATTCCAGTAATTCATAACATCGACCATATTTGCTATGATAAGTAATTCATAACATAACAATATAACTACTAAAAACAACCATTAGGAATTAATACAAAAATTAAATCATACCGAAAATTCATGTTCTGTGTATGTTGCTCGATTTTGGTTGCTGAAATTTGAAGAGGGGGGAGGGATTATGTTTTTACAACTGCTGGTGAGAGTTGTATATAAAGGAAAATCGGGAAGACTTCACCGTTTTTGTCAAAAACGGTGAACAACATCACCGCTTCTGTCTCAAACAGTGAAGATTAGGTGGTTGTGACCTAATTTTCACCTACCAGGAGTGGGAAACGTGGGAAACAATCACCGCCTTAGCCTGAGGCGGTGAAGATGTTCCCCGCTTTGCCCTAAGACGGTGACGTTTTCACTGCTTTTAATTTAAACAGTGATGTATTCACCGTTTTTGTTAAACGCGGTGAACACTTCACCGCTTTTAATAAAAACGGTGAACACGTCATCATTTTTATTAAAAACGGTGAAATGTTCACCGTGTTTGTCAAACGCGGTGATTATATTCACTGCGTTTGTCAAAAACGGTGAATGTGAAACATGTGTAGTTTTGAATTTTTTTTTATAATTTATGTATTTTGAGAATTTTTTTAAAAAACTAGTGTACTTTAGGATTTTTTCCTCACATTGCCGGCCACAACTAACAATAACCAGCCAGCCACTCTATAGATATATATGGTTTTTCCATAAACAACAGGCGCCGGATTTATCATATTAAAGGAAAGTGCAGGCGCCCTTTGTTTGAACGGTAAGGAAGATAAGAAGGAATATGTTTTTTCTTTTATTTTATATATTTTATAAGGAGAGCCTTAGAAGGATTTGTCAAGAATATGATACCATTCGTGTAGTTCAAAGGGCGAGGATCAAATGAAGTGAATCGGTTTTGTTCGAATGTGGTTTGAGTTCCGGATAAAACGATTGTCGAAGTATCGATTAAGATTGTAAATTTGTAACTGATTTAGCTAGTTGTGCTTTGAGAGTTTTAGTAATTAATACATATTGTTATTTGAGGGCCATATAATGGAATTGAGTAATCTCGAAGTATGTATTATAACGAACCGACTGAGTCCTGATAGAAAAGAGAAAGTAGTAACAAAAAATTGATATAATTAAAATATTTTTCGTTAGTGCACTCAATTAAACACTCTATTCATAATTAATATTTTGAGCAAACCGTTAAGGAATAAAATGATCTTAAACTCTAACTGTAATTCAATGAAGAAAAAAAAATGAATGAATTTGCAAGAAATCGTTTAGGATTTGATTTACTTGTATCTTAAGGGTTTGTAGTAAAGGTTTAGGGTTCAGAATTGAAAGCTCGGGATATAGGGTAGTACATGAATAAATTCTAGTTTTATGTTATATCATCATATTAAACTAGCATTAACAATTAAAATTTGACGATAAGCTAGAAAATATCAAATGATTTTTTTAGGTTTAGTAAAGCAAGAAATTAATATGAAATGTAAGCAAAAGACAGTGTTTGGTTTTTCTTTGGCAATATCTACCTTCTAGAACATAAAAGAACAAATGCAAAACAATCTCTTTTTAAGGTTGGTAACCCACTTCAATCTCATTGTATTGCCCACCTCATGTAATGGGGGCAAGTGGGTCTCTCTCTTTTGTGCTCCTCTCATGTCAATGCCACCAAACTTCTTATTTTTCTGTTTTTATATGTTGGTGTCACTATGCATTCATCATATTCATATACAAATTGATGCTATCTTTATCTATGATATAATTAACTTAATGGGTCTATAAAAAAACTTTGATCAATTATAATATACAATGTTGCAATCTATCTAATTGAAGATTCTTCTTGACTACCCGAAAAGAAGAAAAAAGAGGTATCCCTTTCAATCTAAAACTTGTGTTTGTCCCACAACACCAAAACTAGGTGCACCAAGGAAAGCTCCATGCTTTTGGCATATGGCATAGTGACATACATCTTCTTCCCTTATTGCCTCTAAAAAAAACTGGTGGGGGACTTGGCATAATCTTCCAACTACAACTCAAAGACAATAATAATAATATAGTTTATCATCATGAATTCATGGTCATAATGATTTTTTCATATGGTTGTCCAAATGCATGAATTGTTAATTTGTCCAAGGTGGTATGAGGTTCTATCCAAGTTTGTGTTGTAATTTTAAAGGTGTCTAGTTGCTATGAAAGGTAAGCTTACTTTAGATAAATGAAGTCTTACGTTTACAGAGCCTGAATTTGATTTTTGGATACCATTGTCTACCGGTACAACCCAAACAGGAGAAAAACCAGCAAAGTCGAGTTCTCGTTTTCGCTATTTTATGGGTTTGTCCGCTATCCATGCGAGCCAGGATATACATCTATGATGACTTTCTCTCTTTTAAAATAGAACAAGAAAAAATTACACAGGGCTCAAAATTATGCATTAGAGTTATGCTAAATACCAACGAGTTTAGGGTACATTAACATTTTTGGTTGTATCGAATACATAAGATCTCAAGAGCGTTATTTATAATGATCTCATTCTCCTGAAAATTCTCAGGTTATAAAATTTAATAACAATTGACAAGAAAACATGAGAAGGTATGAGAAAATCATTTTGCGATTTGTTTATATATTTAGTATTTGTAAAAATTATTTGATACAATAAACAAAATTTTAATAATTACTATAAGGAAAATTTTATGAGTAGAAATAGACCATACAAGCCAAATTTTGAAGAACAAATTTGAAATTGATAATTAGAATATAACTTTGAGTTTGGTGTATCCTATATATGCCGTAGAGTCGTAGACTTGCCCAAGACAGCCCTACACTAATCAGAAGCCTTTATATCCACTTAGTTAGTCAGGCCCAGTATCAACGGAAATATTAACAAGGCCCAATACTGAATGCACTCATTTTCTGAGCCCAACTGGGCAGTTCCAGCAGCAATTTTGGCCCACTTAGTTAGTCACGCACGCCAATCCAAGAAATAAGAATGTTCGTCCGACCAGGTTCCGTTCATTCCAATTTTCCTTTCCCGTCCGTGGAATTTTTCCGGGAAAGGGAAAACTTGCTCAGTACCCGCGAAGAAGCAAGACTTTGAAACGAAGTGAAGAAAGAAGAACGAGCCGCCATCTCTGCTCATTGTAGCGTCGATGTGGAGGTATGAACATCTCTTTTCTCACCATCTACTCCTTTGGCCGTACTTTTCTTTCCCTCGAACTTCCGTCCAAGTCAAAGTGTTGATTTTATAGCGAAGGATGGATGAATTAATCAGTTGAACTCCCAAATTCTTTGATTTTTCGTATCCGGGTCGCTTTAATTTCGTGCTGGAAGTTTCGGGTTCCTCCTAAAGTGTTTGAATTTGAGACTGAACTATTTGTATGTAGAATCGTAGATGATAATGCATTAACAGTGATCTTGACTCTTTGGGGGTGAAAGTATGTATGTTTTAGGTAACCCCAGAAAGAAGTTATATACTTTAGATGCATGTCTTTCAACTGGAGTTTCCTTAGTTTGAGAAAAAGGAATGCTGAATTGATCAGGTTCCCTTGTGCCCTTTGATAGATTGCTGGATTATGCTATTCTGAATTGAATTCTGGACCTGTGCGTGGGTTGTATCGCTAGTTCTTCTCGGCCAATGGAACACCGAGAAGATATGAATTCCATTCTGCCATTCTTGCCGGTCGTAATGCGGTCTTCCAGTCTGTTCTGGCCTTCGCACACTGTTGAAGCGATTAAATCGCTCTCCAAAGGACCCAACACCAGCAATGTGACCTCTGGAGAATCACTTTTCGATTGCGTTTCTGATATAAGAAGCTCTCTGAAGCTTTCTTCTCTAACGCTCGCACGCTATACTCCAGAAGGTTTTGTCCTCTTCTTTGATGAGGTGAAGTATTTTCACCCGCTTTTGCTTTTCTGTCTGAGATTGTTTCGTTCTGCTGAGTTGGTTGATGATGTTACATACTAGTCCTCTAAAGCCACTTGTTTGGTAAATTTAGGCCTTGACAATTTTAAAATTTCCAGTCTTCCATTTGTCCCTTTTTTGTACCAATGTTTACATATGATTGTTCAGTAATGTTGTAGTGAGATGGTTAATCTGAAAACGTAAAATCATTATATTATAGGGATTTTCATTCCTTTGATTGCTTTGCTTTCAGAGGACTAAATCCCTCTCAGAGCATAAGTTTCTGGTTTTATAGTGTATGAAACTGAAAGAAGGTGGTTTTTGTCCAGCTGATCTCCCGTGTAGAGGCAAGAAAATGGTTTGAAGAAGTTCTTCCATCTTTGGCAAATTTGCTCCTGGAATTGCCCTCTCTGTTAGAGTCCCACTACCAGAATGCAGATGACCTGATTTGTGGGGCTCAATTTCATGTTAAAACTGGTCTCAGATTGTTGGGTCCCCAAGAAGCTGGCATGGTATTCCTCAGCCAGGTATTATTACAGTTATGCCTATATATGGCTCACCTTTCACATATTTTGTTATGTAACTTTGGCATTTTTTATGCTGCTTTTGATATTCAGTGGTTATTTTTTCCAGGAACTGATTGGGGCTCTCTTAGCATGTGCTCTCTTTTGTTTGTTTCCAGCTGATCATAGAGGAGCAAATGATCTCCCAACGATTAATTTTGATCTTTTATTTTCGTACGTGAATCTTCAACTTCTTCTATGTGCTTTCAAAGCATATGTTTCTTTTGGAGGAGGAAATTTCATTCTCATGGAAGGGTTAAAACACAACAAAAAGATATAAGAAAATAGGACAATCCTTCAGTTACCGTCCCAGTTCTGTAAGGACTATGAAGTAGCATGTAAACTTGTAGTCATGAATTTTTCTTTGCATTTTGTATGCTCTCTAATCACTTGATTATAATTTTCCTTTGCTACTTGTTTCTAGAACCAAATACATCGTTTTGAGATGCCATCAGAAGTGGTCTAAAAGATCTAGCAATATGATACTTTATCATGTATTATCTTTCAGTGTTGGTTACTTTGATTACCATATATATTATTTTATGTTCTATGGGTTCTGTCCCAGCTTCACTACCTATTCCTTCGTATACAAGTCTCTTCATTGTTTGACTTAAAATACAAAAGGCTACTGATTCATGAATGCAACGTGTGGAAGTTTGGTTTATGATATGCATTATGGTTTTATTTCAAAAAGTGAATCCATTTTTGTTTTGTTTTGACTTCTCAGGAGTCTGTATAGCAGTTACAAGGAGAGCCAAGAAAGCAAGATAAAATGCATAATACACTATTTTGAAAGGATATGCTCTGTTAGACCTGTCGGCGTTGTATCGTTTGAGAGGAAAGTTCTCTGTTTGGAACAAGTTATTAAATATGTTTCTTATCCAGAGACTGATTTCTGGGGCAAATCTGTCACCCCCCTATGCCCTTTTGAGGTAATATTGATAACTTGACAGGTTGGCTTACCAGAATCTCACTGATTTAGCTATAAGTTTGTCATCCAGTTGCTGATCTGATTTTGTTTCCTGTAATTAATTACTGTGTCTTGACAAGTTACTCACTTTCTAGTTCATTAACCTCTATTAGGTTCGCCGAGAAGGCCTTATAGAAGATCAATCTGATGGAGCTCTTGAAGTGGATTTTGCAAACAAGTATCTTGGAGGTGGCGCTCTTCACAGGGGGTGTGTGCAGGTATGTACTTTTGGTTGAGGTGCTGGTAACAGTCGAAGATTCTTAGAATCTGATCATATTTTCCCTGCTGTTATCTGTGTGCATAGGAAGAGATCCGTTTCATGATCAATCCTGAATTAATTGTTGGCATGCTTTTCTTACCGTGCATGGATGATAACGAGGCCATTGAAATTGTTGGTGCTGAAAGATTCTCAAATTATACTGGGTGAGTATGAATATTTGCGAACTTACATTTTAAGCATTTTATGGTCATAGCGATCTTGTGCTTCTGTCAGACTGCTTCTTTGATATCTTATAGAGGTGGACCCTTTGGTGTTTAGGTATGCGTCTTCATTTCGTTTCAGTGGGGACCATATTGACCAAAAAGGTTTCGATAGCTTCAGGAGGCGTAAAACAAGGATAGTTGCTATAGATGCATTATGTAACCCTAGGACAAGACAGTACAAACTCAACTACCTCCTCCGGTATGAGATTTGAAAATTCCCTGTGAAATGTTCATTTAATCGCACAATGAATATGAGATCTTCAATTTTTTTGATTGTTTACTGCAGTGGTTCATGTTCAACTAATTTCAAATTGGTTTTACTGTGGCAGGGAAACCAATAAGGCATTCTGTGGTTTCTTTGTTCAATCTAAATGTGTAGTTGAGGGAGCTCACTGTGAACGGAAAAACACAGACTTCAACGGTATTTCCAGGAATATGCTTCAGGTGTGAGATTCTTATCAGTGTTTTGCTTTTCTTGTTACTTTGTCTCCGGTGAATCTTATCCGAGTACCTTACCACATGTTTTTAGTCAGATGAACTTCCCTCCAGTTCAACGGACGTTGAAATGATTGATGCAGACTGTAGGAGCCAAGTGGTAGAAAATCCCGACCGGAAGGGAAGCTTCCATCTAGATGATGAAGAGACAGTTGGGATTGCATCTGGTAATTGGGGCTGTGGAGCGTTTGGAGGAGATCCTGAACTAAAAGCTATGATTCAGTGGCTAGCAGCTTCTCAGGTGATTCATTATTACAACTGCCAGAGTAGCCTTTCTGTTCTATTTGCATGTCATTCGTGCATATGGCAGTCTCTAGTTGCTAGATCTTTGAAAATCAGCACTCCAATTACAGAGTGTTTGGATGATCTTTTGCTTATTGTATGATTATTATGTCATCCATGTATCTCTCATCGAATGCTGTTCTTTCCAGGCAGCTAGACCATACATTTTGTACTATACATTTGGAATTGAAGCATTGCAGAACTTGGATAAGGTATTTTGTGCACTTCGTTAGCCTGTTAATTAATTAGATCTCAAACGTTTATCACTTGCATTTAGTTTTTTGGACTTATTCCTAACTCCTAAGGAATTCCCCTGATTATCATGTGATGTTTGTGGCTTCATCTTTGCAGGTGGTTGAGTGGATTGTATCACATGAATGGGTTGTGGGAGAGCTTTGGAATATGGTGGTAGAATACTCATCTCAGAGATTCAATGGAGGTACTGAGCTTGGGTTCTTATCATGGCTGCTTCCATCATTGTCGTCGGCAGTGTGCGAAGACCAAGAAGATGGAATCTCAGAACATCCCTAGCTAGATCGCCCTATGGTTTTGTTGCAGAATAGAGCATTAGGCACTAGCCACAGTAGTTTGAGTATCCTTCATTGGAAAAAATTAAGTTTTAGAGCTTCGTGTAGTTTTAGTGTAATTCTCTTAATGATGGAAGCCTATTCCTACTAGACTTGCAGCATAGTGGAATTTTGTTTATGCTGTCCTGAATGTCTCTTTTTCTTTGTTTCGGCTAACAGCCTAAAACACGAGTATTTATTTCCCTTTTACAGACCATCCTTTTCGACGAGTCAAGAGAGGCTGCAAAAGTAATGAAAAGATACTACTAAACAATTGCATCTTCAAACTCAAACTAATACTAGAGACCTCGCAATCCAAGCTCATGATTTGATTTTAGCTACAAAGTACACACTCAATGATTATGAGACCATGAGCAATTCATGTAATAAATCAACACAAAGCTTCAAGGAGAGACGAGGATATCATATGAATTCGGGTGATTGAAATGATAATTTTTCCCACTTTCAAGCAGTGATGGCAATTTCAACCCGCCTGCGGGTATTACCCGACCTGATCCGCAATGGGGCGAGTATTACCCGACCCGCAGTAGCGTGGGGCGGGGCATGGATATCTACTTCCGACCCGCACTGTCCCGCCCCGCCCCGTTCTAGACTCATTTTATCTCAATTCTTACAATTTTTATACATATTTCTCCTATTTTGACTTTTCTTCAACCAGTTAGAGTCTCATTTTCAACTTGTTATACTCAATTACTCATTCAATTATCACTATTTTTCATTATTAAATTGTTTTACCCTTCGTTTTATTGTAAAAAGTAAAATTTAATTGTATTTTTTTCGAATAACATGTAAGAGTGGGTCGATCCGTCCCATACTCGCGCGAATTTTACCCGCCCCGCAGTAGCGTGGGACGGAACATGGGAATTGAGGTACCCACCCCGTCTCGCCCCATTGCCATCGCTACTTTCAAGTTTCAACTTTTCTTTTTTAGAAAGTCGACGACAATTCGTATTAATAATCAACTCATCTTTTTCAGTTTATCCCCATGCCTCATCCCATTCCCATAACCACAGAGAGATTTAAGCGACTTAGAGGGTTTTGCGAACTGAAGTGAAGGAAGCCAAAGGAGGAAACAACCAGAGAAAAAGGCAGCGACCATAACCAAACGGTCATCCGTTCTCCTTCCTTATTTTCCCCTTTTCCCGCCATTTCTCTGCTCCCCTGTCCTGATAAAGTTCCCAACTTTTTCAGAAACAAGGTGATGTAGTGGAGGAGAAAGATTCGGCTTCTCACTGTATTTTCTTCCGCCATTTCTTTGATTCGCTGTCTGTGGACTCTACTTGTTGAAGTTCGTAGCTTTTACAGATGGGTAGTCTTCTTCCTATCATTTAAGCTGATAAATGAACTTTGGATTTTTTATCTGTAGCGGTGACAAATTGAAAGCACATGGGTCATCTGGCTTTGGCAATATATAATTGGTCCTGGCTAGTACAAGGTCGACGATTTGGTGATTTGGAATTGGGAATTAGCAAGCTTGCTGCTCCTTCTTCCTCTTGTTGTCTCACTGCCCAATTCTTGAAGATCAATTTGCAGGTTTGTGCTGCTTCTGATATACTGCTATTGCTGTTGATGATTGCGTAAGTTTGCAAAAATTCAGTCTTGTACTCATGACGAAAAATATATGTTGCAGGGCAGTCGTTACAGTGTTGATAGAGTAAGAGCTTCTATACCAGTTGAAATCCTTAATTCAGATGATGGAAAGAAAAGGAAAGGTGTAGAATGCAGTGATAGTGACAGGCGAGGATAATGATGATTCAGCCAGAAGAGATAAGGCTAACGGCCCTTATGCTATGAATCCTGAAGAGAGACGTGAATGGAGGAAGAACATTAGAGAAGATTGACCGATTATCCACTTGTTGTGGATGAAGAGGATCCTGATTGGCCTGAAGATGCTGATGGATGGGGGTTTAGTTTGGGTCAATTCTTCAACAAGATCACTATCAAGAATGTCAAGAAGGATGATGGTGATGATGATGATGAGAAGTATGATAGTGATAATGAGATTGAGTGGCAAGATGATGATTATATTCATCCGATCAAGGATATTACCACTGCAGAATGGGAGGGAACACTATTCAAAGATATCAGCCCCTTGATTGTGCTAGTTCATAATCGGTATAAAAGGTCAGTTTTTTACTCTCGTTATGCATGCTGTTAATTTTATTCAAGTTGCAGATGACTGTCTTTTGCCGGTTAAATGCCTAATTGATAGGTTTCTAACTAAAGATGGCTAAATTAACAAAAGATGACTGTCTTTTGCCGATTAAATGCCTAATTGATAGGTTTCTGACTAAACTAAGTGTTTCACTTTTCTCTTTGAATTCAGCGATACAAACAGCTGATGAGTTCTCGAAGATAATGGCCTACTTCTATTATGGAGCAGCCAAGCCACCTTGCCTAGATAAGATTGGTGATGGACAGGAAATGATCCCAGCTGTAAAGGTCAGTAACAATCAGTAAAGCAATATCTATTATTGCAGCATGTTGCCAAGATTAGTCAACTTCCTGATCTCTAGTGACATGCTTATCATACATAGTGTTGCTTATAAAGTCGTTTGGATGCTACTAGATTAGTGGGTTTTGAATTTGTTTGAACATCTAGATTCCCTTGAGAACTTGTGCAGAAGATTTAGCTAAGCATGGTCAAAATTGCTAGAGTAAGTTTCATGGGGGTTTCCTTCGGATTTGGTATCTTTCATACATAGCTCAGGTTTACGCAATGATTTGTTGACCATGGAAGTGATAAAGCAAAAGGGTAATGAATGAATACTCACCTTCTGTATCATGGCTTAGTTATGTTTTGCAGTGCATTCTTGAAGGATAGACTATAGTTAAATGTTCGAATTCTTACCAACCTATGGAATTGTGTGAAAATGCTACCTTCAATTAGTGATCTGGATAAAAAAAAAAAGAGTCAGTTTGTCTATCTGGCGTTAGTTCGATTGAGTCTACTTGCCAAACAGGCTCGCTTGTGTCCGGAAGAAATCCATCTATTAGAACCCCTTCACCCACTCAACCCAACCCTTTTCCACCTCAGGTCCAACTCACAAAACCGACTACCAACCTGTAAGAAAATGCACCGAACCCGAGATCCAAGTCACTCTTGAATTGGAAAGGGTGAAATCCTGTAGGGGCATGGGGTGCAAAAAATGCACCGAGCCTATTTTGCATATTGACTACCTAAATTAACAATGGGTTAGACGAAATGAGACAGGGTGGTTGTTTTGTCAACGAACCACTTTAGTTAGCATTTTATGATGATTTTTAGTTAGGTGTTAGGAATTCAACTGCATATGAGTATTTGCATGTTCCTTTGCCCCTTTGATAAAACAGTAGGGCAATCTTGAAAATTTCCATAGCATAACTATGAGACGTGATCCATATGTATGTAACTTATTGTGCAAGTTATACAGTTGAAGGAAGTCAATTATTGAAGACACCACAACCACAGAAGGCTTTATGGTAATGGAATCTGAAGGCAAAGAGCTGCTTCTTGTTTGAGCCATCAAACTTGCAGTCAGCTACACCAACGGTTCTTTTCTCTCCATGTCCTCCCAGAACTGTAAGGCATTTCCCACTGCTATGAGATAACCAGAATCTGTATCCTCTGTGATTTACTTTCGCTGGCGGATTGATAGATTTCCAGTCAGCTTCTGCTAAGGTTTCCAGTGACTTCAACGATCGAAGAGCCACCTTGCCAACCTTATCTACTGTTAGATAACTCTTTCCACCAGAGCATTTGTCCATATAGTTGCTGAACCTGTAAAAAAAAGAATTGCAGTAGCCAATAGCATCAGCATATGTTTTTACATTGGGGTAAATTACGCAGTTCGTTAGACATCACTTTTTATAATAAACTGTGAAGCAAATCACTTATTCAGTGACTTGGCAGTTACCTTCTTTTTTTACATGATCCGCATACCTACATAGAATTCAAAACTTGGGGGCTTGGATTGTCCCAACATTGCTGTAAATTTTTGGCTACAATGTCTTAGTAGTACCTGTGATAGCCAGAAGCAGAACCAGAAGTGGACTGCCAGCCAAAGTAAGCATTGTATTGCCTCGACTTCCCTCCTTCGACATTGGGGACAGAGTAAATCCCTCTGTCATTAACATCGACGAGATCAGATTGGAGCGCTCCAGCGATAAGCCTGTTGTCGAAAGCTGTCACGTGAGGGAAGTCTGAGCTCGAAGGGCACTTGTGCTCCTTCACAGTGGCACATTGCACGCAAAGATTGTGGCTGCTGAGGCCATCGACGCAAGGATGAGGTATGAATTGGACGCCAAGCAACAGGCAGAGGAGAAGAAGAAAGCTGTGAACTTGGTTCGTCATTTTGGATCTCACTTGGCTTCTGTGAGTTTTTCCTCCTTTGTTTTTGCTCTTCTTGCTTCTTTGAGGTAAAACAATGTGCATATACTTATACAGACTGCGATTTTTTGTTTTTTTGACTACTTCTGAACGTTGGTTTTTACGCTGATGGATGAAAATTATGAGTACCAATGTGATTCAGCCAATAGAAACGAAAGAAAGTTGGCAACTTTGTTACCATCTAGCTAGCTTTGGATTCCCTTGTGAAAAGTTAGATAGGTTCTGCTCTTTAGCATCTTTCTTGCATCTTTTGTTTTTGATCATTTGTATTATCATTGCTGAATTGCAGACCAAGTATATATTATCAAGGGTCAAGAGATCTCTTGTTTAAATCCATAACGAAACCATCATTGTATTTAATATGCATACATTATGCGTGGTATGATGAGTCTATACAAACTTCTATAAAGTGCACGGATGTTTTGAACTTGTATAATATATAAGAAAATAATGTATTAGATCGAGTATCATACATGTATGATCAATTCAAATTATTAAAATGCACTCATTTTTCAAATATGTGACAACAGAATGAATCAATGTGTAATGAATGTTTTGTTTGTTGCGGTAATTAATATGTAATGACTTTCCTACGTGATAGAACTGATTATGTAAACATCAAATAATTTGTGATCTTGATTTATATACTGTTTTAATTATGTAATTATATCATCTCCAAATAGACAATTAACATTGAGAATTAAAAATAAAAGAATTAAAAATCATTTCCCCCATTATTTACCCTATGTACTTTTTCTTCTTCTTACCACTGCCTGACTGAATCAAGTTCATCCTGTTGCTGTAATTGTTTTGGAAGTGAAGTAGGAGGGGAGAAAGTTAATGAATATGTTTGATCTGTGGCGACAAAAGAAGTTGGTTGCGACAGAAGATTCATGGAAGAATATACATTGTTGTTATTAAGATTGTACTGATGAATATTTTGTTGCACTACTTCACCATCTTGATGATGAAGAACTTGATGCTGATGATTGTGATGCGGTTGTTGTTGATGTTGTAGATGTTGTTGTTGCGGTAACCTGGGCTCGACTCGTTGTTGTTTCGGCAAGTTGAGTTTCTCGCCTTCAATCTCTCTGTACTTGCTGAGGTACGTTTTGAGCGGCGCAACGTAATCTTCAAACCCTAGCGTCGTTATGGCCCATATGATATCGTCACCGTTGATCGTCTTCCTCTTCTCCCTCTGACATTTATCGGAGGCTTCTCCGGTCACGAAGCTGATGAACTCCGATACGCATTCCTGAACGGTTTCCTTGGCTTCTTTCGAGATCTTCCCGTTCTGCGGTATCACTTTCTTCATGATCCTGCCCACGTTGGCAATGGGTAGGAAACGATCTTGCTCCTTGTTGAGAGTTGTATGATGATGAGTTGTGTTTGTCGTCGTCGTGGTAGTAACATTATTGGTGACGGGTATAGTGTTAGAACCGACGCTATTGATGTTGTGGTCGCTATTGAATATCTTTAGTGACGAACAGTTGTTGTTATTACCGCCTTCTGAATTTTCTCTAGTCGTCGTCGTGGTCGGATAATTGCTTCTGCAATTTCCATGGCTCTCATCTTCCATTATCTCTCTACCCTTAGATACAAGAAGCTTTTCTTTCTGAAAGGTTGAGAGAGTAGGTGTTCTTTTTTTGGTGTTTTTTTTCTCTGTTTTTACTTTTTTGTGTTAGTTTGAACTTTGTTAAGAGAAAAGTTAATGGCTTGAGATAACTAGAGAAAATTTGTGGTAAAAATAGAGAGAGTGTGGCAGACATTGGAGGATTATAACCTTTGTTAGGGTTCCCTTTCCATAGGACTCGTTCTTTCCATAGACAGTAAAAAAAAAAACTTAACTGTCATAACCTAATCTAGGCCAACTTTGTTCAACATGAATTCCTTATTGACATGGTTTTTATTTTGACTGTGTTTTTTGGTGTTTTATCTGTTGATTTTTTATACTTTTCTTTTGCCAAATATTGAAGTAATATTTATTTATAAATTAGGATTCGACGAAAACTTGAAGCCCCATTTCAAATTTCCTGTATCCAGAGTGAAAGTAGGAAGGACATTTTGGTCTTTACAATTACTTTTTTTTTATTCATTAAAAAGACACTTACTAGGATTCGAACCATGACCACTTTAAAGAAAAGCAAAGATCATAACAAATCACACTAAGTACATTTGTTGTATCTTTTTAAATTTAAAACATATAATCGCAAAGAGGAAAAAACCCTTCCCCCATTTCAAATTCCCTGTTCCATGAGCGTTTGTAGGAAGGATAGAATAGGGAGTGTCAATTTTTTCCTTTTTCCTCTGTGGAACGGGCCAACTTACCGTAGACATGCGGATTTAAACGGGTCCAGGAGTGTCAATTTTTTTCTTTAAGTCCTTTTATTTCTCCGTGGTGGTAAAATATATATGAAAAGGAAAAAACAATACTCCTTTTTATTCCTAAAAAGAAAAAAATTAACAATAAACTAATGCATGGATTCTAATGGACTAACCGCTAATCATAAAATAAAAGAGCTGAATGGGCCTGACCTACATGGGATTTGCCCATCAAGTAAAACAAATAAACATCATGAGTTTGTCATTCTAAAACAAGCTATTTTCTCTAGCATAGTATATATTATGCTATTATTTTATATCTTAGTGGCTAAAATATAATATATTTTAAAGTTATTCAGTAGTTCAACCTCGACCAACCCAATTAGTCCAATTTTTATCATTTCAAATATATATTATGTAATTATTTGATATCATAATGATTAAATTATAGTGTATATTATAGGAAATCGTTTGGTATTTGTTAGTAAAAAACTAAACAGAAAGATCTATTTGGTTATTTTTAACATTAAAACGATCCTAAATATTTTCAGTTTCCTTTCGAAATTCTATAGTTTTATTCCCGAATCAGTGATGTGCAAATGGTGAATTGCCATCATCTCTTTACTTTCATTATTTTTTATTTTCAAATAGAAAGTTTAAAAGTAAAGAATAATTAGAGTTTGGCATGGGTAGGTCAAACAAGCTGAATTTCAAATTTTGGCCTGTTTTGATCAGGTCTAATTTATGATCAAGTCTAATTATTCTAGGGATACAGGAACGGTGTTTCCTATTCCAAATCGTGTTGTTCATTCTTGATTTCTTTAGATTTTTTCATGGCTTGGCAAAAAACCAGAAATCACAATGATGACAAGATGAAAGTTTTATAAAGCAAATTAATCGGCCAACGGGCCGAGTAAAAGCTAGCAACGATTATGAGATGCTCATTTCCCAAAAGCCGGCGTGATGGCGATTTTTTATTCAATTTTCCGAAATTCGGTTTCTATAAAACTTACTCCACCTCATCATATTACCAGAAACAATATTGTTTCACAAGGTAACAGGTACTTGATTTTGGTTCATAAGGTTGATTTTTGATTCGTTGCATCATTCATGTCTATTTCCTACTAAAATTCACTATTTTTATAACGTGTTTCAAAAAAAAAAAAACTATACAACAATAAGCTATACACCTAATTATATTATCAAATTTCAAACATCACCTTCTTCCGGCCGGGGCCCACGCTAGTTGTGTATTATTATATTAGTACTGACTTTGAAGCCACTAAGGGTATATCTAGTATACAATGAGAAATTCTCATAATAAGCCTAATATTATTAAGGAAATGACTTAATTTCTAACAAACTACACGAGAATACTCATACTCTGACAAAATTTTAGAACTTCGGCATGAAAATTCAAATTTAAATGAAAACTCGTTAAATGACATAGTGGTACTTGTACTCTAATATCATTTTAATACATCAGGGTTCGATGAAAATTGTCTATATCTTTCATGAACCACGAAGAGTTTGAATACAATGATAGACTCTCATAATAAAGGTAATACTAATAATAAAAACTGCCTCACTTCTAAGGCTCAGTACATTGCAGATGTGAGTGTGGAAAGGCACACAGCCAGAGTGGTATCAAAAGAGTATACTTAGGTTCATGTAGTTAATTTTTGGGTATCTTTTCACCTTCAGCAAAGCAGAATTTAGTGAAGCTATTGTTGGGAACTTGATCAAAGACCAAAGTACTTCTTATAAAAAATGACAAAATACAAAGGGAGAATGTTTGCAAGATGGAGAAGTCACTTGGCTTAAAATAAGTCAATAGAAAATGATTTCTTATTTCATCACTCGGTTTAATTAAATCTTATGCTTATTATTCTGTGTTCATATTTAGTTAGAAGGAAGTGTTCTTTTCCATGTGATTTATGTTGATGATATGATATTGGATAGTTATAGCCTAGATTTGATTAGCTAGGTTAAAGGTTGGCTTCAAGGAGATTTCGAAATAAAAGATTTACGAGGACAAAAGTATTTCTTGGGTTTAGGTATGCATAGAGATCAAGATGAAATCTTTCTTAATTAGAGGAAGTTTTATCGGAAATGTTGGCTAATGCACACTTTCTTGACAACAAGCCATCCAAAACTCCTCTAAGCATGAAGACAGTAATATCAAGTGAAAATGGAGCCGTGCTATGCAAGGAAGAAGGAGAAGTTTACCAACATTTTTCAGGCGACCGCAATATCTTATCACTACAAGGCATGACATAGTTTTTTGTGTTTATTAGTTGCAGTATAACAACATCATGTGCAACTAACAAACCACATGAATTTGCAAATACATTTTGACACAAGTAGAAGTTTACCAACATTTCTTCACCATAACATATAAGGTGATTCAAAGAAAGGTTTGGAGTGTTTTGGAGATCTTCTATAGTACTAGTAGTAATTTGAATTTGGAAGAAGAAGACAAAAAGGTGATAGCTTTTTGTGATTCAAACCCATAACACTATAATTATTAGAGAATATGTTATCTGTTACATGACAAACCAATTGTTGTTATGTTTAAAACATAAATATAATTATAATAAAACAAAGCCCAATTAAATTCTAATTTCCATCATTTTTCATCCACACCCTAAAAATTAAATTCCCAATTCCCCACCCTTCTTATATTGACTAAGCTTGCATCATTATGATGTTGAATTGTTTTAGTTATTTAAGACGTGCATTTTATTAGTTCATGTAATCATGTGGAGCCCTATAATTTGTAAAACTAACCCGTGCTTGCCGGGAGAGATTCAGGAAAAGTTAAGTAAATAATACACAGAAAAATTATGTCGTCCTCGCCAAATTCCCTTCTTCCACCCGCTCCAGATCCAGAGTCTAGCTCCGCCATCGCCGCCGCCGAAAATAATGCTCCCGACACCGCAACCACCGCCGGCGATTCGCGGCCCGAGGAACCCATCTGCTCCACCACCACCACCGCCACCGCCACTACGACTTCATCATCATCCTCTCCATCCGATGGAGCAGAAGATCCTCGGCCGGACATCCATATCTCCTGGCCGCCGGACGGCCAGCTGTCGTCGGAGTGGGTCCACCGTCTGATTTCGACCTTCGATTGGTCCTCGCGCAACGTGGCTCCTTCGCAGTTCGATTCCGTGCTCCCCGTCCCGGCCTTCGACGCGCTGGTGCTGGCCGCATCGAAGCTCCTCCACAAGGAGCCGAATTGCATCTCGATCGGGGGTTTGAGCCCCGATTCCACCGTCGTCGTGGTCGGGGACGTCCACGGCCAGCTCCACGACGTGCTTCTCCTGTTCAGAGAAGCTGGTTTCCCTAGCGAGAATCGTTACTTCGTGTTCAATGGGGACTACGTTGATCGAGGTGCTTGGGGGCTCGAGACTTTCTTGGTCCTGCTGGCGTGGAAGGTACTTGCTTTACTGAATTCGGTTGCTCTGAAGTTTGAATCAGTGATGGAAATGTTACCGGGTTGTGAACAATTGATGGAAGTTTTGGTAGATAGAGATCTTCCTAGTAGAAAAGGAATGCAGAGAAATTGGTACTTGAACTCATTTCTGACTGTTACGGTGTGCTGGAAAAAAAGCTAGAATTTGGATTGACTGAACTGCTATTCGTCGATTTGGTAGCTTTCATTTCGTGTTATTCAGAGTAATTCGTGCTGCCCTGAAATAAGAATCAATGATCACTTTTACTGAGTTGTGACTTGTGAACACTGATGGAAGTTTGGTAAAGAGATATCTTTGTAGTAGGAAATGTATACAGAGAAAACTGGTTCAAACTGTCTTGGTGCGTTGGACAGAGCTAAACATTTGCTTGACTTGACTTATTTTTCTTGATTCATCGGGTTGGACTGTCGTCAATTTGTTTGCTTTCCTTTCCTGTTTATTGAGTAGCGAGAAATTCAGTGGGTTTCTGCCTGCTCCGAGTAAGAGTCAATGGTGAAATTATTGAACGTTAATGAATTTTTGGCGGAGAGAGATCTTGTGAGAGGAAATGCAAGACAGGAAGGCCTTTCTAACTGTTTCAGTTTGCTGGAAAGGGCTAGAATTCTGGTTGAGTTAACTATTATTCTTGATCCATCTATCTGTCCAGTCCTCAATTTATTAGCTTTCCATTCCCGTCTATTGAGTTGCGAGTTATTCATTGAATTTTTCAAATTTTTCATGAGACGTGCATGTATGACGAGATCAGTTACACTTAATTGTACTTTCATGGTGATGTAATCAACAATAAGGCGACCCTTCTTTAGGTGTTTATGCCGCACAGGGTGTTTCTCTTACGCGGGAACCACGAATCTAAGTACTGTACGTCGGTGTACGGTTTCGAGAAGGAAGTACTGGCAAAGTATGGGGATAAAGGCAAACATGCATACAGGAAGTGTTTGGGATGCTTCGAAGGGCTTCCATTGGCTTCCATTATAGCTGGGCATGTGTACACTGCTCACGGGGGACTATTCAGAGGCAACCCTGCTATTCCCACCTTGCCCAAGAGATCAAAACGAAAGAAGAACCGGAAAGTAAACCTACACCAGGAGACTAATACCTTAGTTCTCGGTTCTTTAGACGAGTTGGCCAAAGCTCGAAGGTCGGTTCTTGATCCTCCATGGGAAGGTCAGAACCTGATCCCTGGTGATGTGCTATGGTCAGACCCAACGATGAAACTGGGGCTCTCGCCGAATAAAGAGAGAGGGATCGGCTTGCTTTGGGGTCCTGATTGCACGGAAAGCTTTTTGAAGAGGTTTCAGTTAAAGGTTTGTTGTAGTTTTTCACTTAAGCTTAATCTCGTCTAGGTTTCTTCTGAGTTGTTTCTTCTTACTGATTTTGTTGCTTTTGTTTGTCTTAGCTAATCATCAGATCACATGAAGGTCCTGATGCTAGAGAAAAGAGGCCCGGTCTTGGCAAAATGGACGAGGGATATACCATTGATCATGTTACAGAGTCTGGGAAACTTATTACTTTGTTTAGTGCTCCGGACTACCCACAGTTTCAGGTCATTCTTAATTCTTAATCCGGGTGTTTTCTGCTGTCAGATGAAGCTAATCCACACATTAACCTGCAAAAGAAATGTTTAATGCTGTCCATGCAGGCAACGGAGGAGAGATACAAGAACAAAGGGGCTTATATCGTTCTCAAACCACCGAATTTCGATGAGCCAGAGTTCCATAGCTTCGACGCAGTAACTCCTAGACCGCAGGTACTTCCTTGTTAAATTAGCTAACGTCAGGGATAGCGTTTGCATTAATGGAAGCCAATAGATCACTGCTTAGATAGCGAGAATCAGTACTAGCATTGTTTCAGCATGCTAGGTCCTAAGGTCTTTTTTGGCAATGCAGGTGAATCCCTATTACGACTTTGAAGACGTGATCGACTCTGATGAAGATTTAGACTTGGCTTCAATGGCAAACAATGATTAACGAAAACCTGTCGGGTCCCATACCCGGTCCAGTTCATCACCTGCCTTTTGCTAGCTTGTAGATGCTTCAAATGCCCTTGTACAATCATAATTTATGAATTAAACCTTCTCGTCAGAGTGAAAAGTAGCTGGCTTCTTGTTGTTGTTGTTGCCTCTTCTGCGTCCCCTCTTCTTTTTTTGGCAGCTCAGAGTAGCATAATATACACTTCATGATATTTAAGGTTTGATGTATTAATGGGGGAAATGGAGCAGAGTTCTGGAATTGTTTCTGTCCTTCAACTCTTTGATGTGAATCTCCTTAATGGTGTCTTGTTATTTTTAGAGCCCATTCGCGTCCATTTCCAGGCAATTAATTTGAACTTTACATTTCTCTAGTTTCGCACCTAGTAAGAACTAGGGGTTGGCAACGATCCGATTCACACCCTATTGAATCGTACGGACCACACTGTACTGAACCATACTGCATTGATATTTGGACCAGTATGATCGGATCAAATATATTTTGTCAGTTTTTATTTTGTCTCGATTCGGTTTTAGGCATAATCTTTTGTCAACTTTGTTCTTGTCTCGATCGCTCCGGTTTTGGGCACAATCGACCGATGCCCATCCAACTTAAGAGTTTGTACTAAGAGCTAAAGCAGGCCCGGGAAATGCTGCACAGTTCAACAGATCCTCATTTTCAACGCTGTATAATGCTATAAACTCCCAAGTCTGTAAAGGTGTTTCTATGAGAAATTCAAAACTATAATAAACTTTAAAGAAATTACTGAGGTCTATTCATCATCCAAATTAAATAAAAACTTGACTGATCTGTAGTTCTTCATTGACTTAATCCCAAATCTAGGGTATCTAGATGACTCTCATAAAATGACTGGTGATTCACTTCAAACGATAAGCCCGACGAATCGCCTCTTCCAGAAGAATTGCTTCTTCCTCTCTCTGTCCCTCCTTCCAGACCTTGAAGTACAGTCCCGTAGGGCTGAAACTGGAATCTCTCAATTTCTTCAACAGAGAGATGGAGTAGAGCCCTCCAATGCGCAGACCCCGTCGTACACTAATGCAGTGCCACATCTTGGTGTTCAGGTTTTTTGTTGAGGCCACCATTGCTGCTGCTGCTGCTGCTTGATTGCTGATGGCGGCAGGCTTTGTATTATCACCTTCGTCGTCATCATTGCCTAGATCGATGATCTCGATCTTTCTGGGAATGCTCTTTTCAGTAGTCTGTTTGCTGGTTTTCACAGCCGAGTTTGATGCCACGTTGGGTGCATGATTTTTTCTGCTCTTTTCCATGACAAAGGGTGCTGCTGCAGGTGTTTCCCTTTCGGTAGTTTTCGCTGCCTTTTTTATGATCTCCTCTTGTCTGGTTTTTTTCTCCATGTTGCATGGAGAAACAAATGTTTGATTTCCTGAACCTGTTCAAGTTTACCGTTAGTCCAACAAACAAGTTCCTTTGGGCAACTTGTACGTAAGTAGACTATGCAAATCAAAGGAGAAGCTGGACAAACCTGTAGCTTCCATCACATTGCCTGGACTCCAAGTTCCCGCTCTCATTAGATATTTGGATGGTTTCACTTTTCTCAAAACTTCTTTTTGTTGTAGAACCACTGCCTGTTTTCCATGACTGGGTATTTCCTTGCATGCTGATTCCCCCGCTTCTTCATCTGCAATGATCTTTGGGATTTCCTGTAACAGCCGAGATTGCTCCTTGGGTGTGTGGAGTTCGTTCCATGCTTCAAAGTACCCGGCAAGCGTAGGCAGGGTGGTAGTTAAGGATTTTCATAGCTTTCTATCAACTACCATATGAGCGCCTTTAAACATTGAAATAGGAAACTAAGAAGAAGAAAGGAGAAGAGAAAAAGAAGAGAAGAATCGGTTAAATGAACCGTTAAAGCTTTACTGTTAAAAGAAAAATCAAAGGATATTCACTACTCCATCCCTTCTGACTTTCCAGTTCGATACGGCGTTTTCCTAGTGCCAGCTCTCTTATGATCCACTTGACCATTGCAGATGATGAAAGACACAAAAAAAATGTCAAGAAAAAGAACTCGCATCATCTAAGAACGCAGACTACACTTCTAACACAAGTACTCTGCCACAGAAGCAATGAATACAAAGCAGGCAAGTCTAGCAAACCACAGGACGATGTTAATCACAAAACGACGGCCTTATCATGAATTCATATTGAACATTTACTAGAGTTCAGATTGGCATTAACTAAAACTATGATCCAGGAAGATTACTTCAAATGCTACACAAATAGGCTACAATTACTTTCTACTTCATGCTTTACCGTCTCTAATGTATTTATTTTTTCCCAGTGAATTCACCTGTTCTACTTTCTCAAACATATTGGACAAGATCATCTTTCCCTAAGAGAAGAATCACCAGTTATTTATACACATATTATGTAATTCTTGAACAAAGGAATCAGGGTACATACATCTCTTGTTATAACCTCGTGGAGACTCTGAGCCTTCTCCTGAAAGTCTGCCTGTGAATCAAGCATCATTGCCATCTTAGATTCATGCTAGCAATCCAGAGAAATCTATATATTAACCATCATTATGGGGAAGTCTAATAACTTATGATCCAAGAAAGGTTTTCTCCGTCTTTGAAGGATGAAAGATAATAATAATAAAAACATTATTAAATGCATACTCCGATTGAAGTCAAACTTGGTAGAAATCGGTCTCTATCGCTGGACTAATCCTCTACGTGAAGCAAACGAAAAACGAAGAACGTCTACTGCATGCATGGATTGCACGACGAATCATACGTTACGAGTCCATTACCCCATTTACTTGCCATAAAGAAGCCTCCTACTTATAGATGTGTCCTTTTCCAGATTAAGTGCAAGCCAAAGACAGAATCTGGCTAAAATCTGCAAACTTCTAAGGAAGTATGTAACTGGACCTAATGAAAATAGGAACTATGAACCAAAGGCAGATGTGCAAAAAATAAAACTGATCAAACAAAAGGCTGAGAATCAACAAACACCAAGAGCATTGATTCTAAAAACTGAATTACAAGTACCAGAAATAGAGAGAAGTGCTGTGAAGTGGAGGTAGAAAATGCATATGAGAGGTAATAAGTAGCAGAAACTTACAACCAGAGGCCTTTTAAGCATGCCGTCCTTAACACGTTGACGCAGATCCTCACATTCATCCTGCAAGAGAATCACATAAAGAAACAATCTGCCTATCAAGAACGAAAACACCGTTTCACTTATCTCATAGAACGAGGAGGGTGCTTGAGAAAAGTTTATGCAAGTTTCCCATAAATGTATTTCGAGATTGCTAATTCAAGGTTCCTAATTCAGTATCAGTGGAATTAGACGAATTTTTTTTTTACCTCAGTGAAATTCTCATCAGAAACCTCAGAAATGGGTACATCTTTCAGCACACAGGGAACTTCCAGAAGAACAGGATCCCCCATTTCAGCATTTTCTGGAGATCTCTTTACCCCTGTAATGCAATACAAGATGAGCTCATCATGCAACATGGTAGGAAAAAAAAACAATCTAAGCTAGAAATTCGCTCTCGCTCCATTCCATCCTTCGTCATTCATGCATCCTCTCTAAATACTTATCACAGCTAAGAAAATCAGAAAACTACCTGTCACCAGAGCAAGCAAATGAGAGGTTGTCCTACTGTAGTCCGAAGGATCGGTCTTGATCCTCACAAAGCATCCAACAACTTTAGCATCGAAACTCTCCGGCTCCTTCATCAACGCATACAGAACATTCTTCCTTAGGTAAACACGTTTGATATTCTCAGCGGTAACCGATGCAAACAGCCCTTTGTGCACAACCACAACCCCCTTTCCTTTCTTCTGGCAATCAGCTTCAGGACTTGGTATCCTCTTCCTCTTCTCACCAGTCACCACATAATTCTCACCACTCCCTTCACCAACTTCCAGCCCCTGATTAACCAGTTCTCCTATCTCCATCGCATCATCATCATCATCATCGTCATCACCACCATCATCCAATTGGTTCTCGGCGAAATGCTTCTCCACGTGCGTGCGGATGCCGTTCTTATTGATCCACTTTCGCCTGAACAGTGCCCGAAGTTTCGCGTCGCAGAGAATCCTATTCCTCTTTTCCGGATCAAACAGGTTGCGATCAGCACAGTACTTGGAGATTATCCCGACGACTTCTTGTTGAGACAATTGCTCGGCCGTCTCCTTCCGTATTGAAGCAAGGAACTCGAGCAGGTCCTTCGAACCCCATCCATTAAACACCAACTTTCTCCTCATCTTTCGAAATTCCCTCAACTTCCAAACAGCAATTCAAAAACCAGAAACGGAAATCTAAAACCCTAGCAAAGCTGAAAACGAATTTCTCCCCCCCTGACGCAAAAGGATTAGCTTCCACGAGATTCCAACTGCCATTTCAAAAAGCGCAACAAAAAAAAAAAAAAAAACTTATCAGAACATTTCATACGAAACGAGAAGGCGGAAGTCAGAATTCACAGAGACGATGAACCGAAGTAGAAAAGAAAAGACGAACTCTGACGAATCAGGGACGGGGTTTTTCTTCCTTCCTTCACAAAATGTCATGCAAATGCTGAGAACACCAAAACTCCCCCCATCAACACACAGGCTGAACTGAATCGAGCTTAGGTCGTTGCAGTTGCTTGGCAGATTATGACGGAAACGCACACTCTCGCTCTGGCGGCACTGAGCAGGAAACCAAATTTGATGGTGTTCTTCAGCTGGAGCGAGAGCGAGACCGAATTCGAGAGGAGAAGTGACAGAGACAAGACTTCGCCGCGGGGAATATATTTGGGAAAAGCGGATTTCGGTTACTAAGTAATTAATGAAATGGATTCTATTGTAATGAATGCTAATTCAAAGTGTTTCCAAATAAAAATATATTTTACCAAACTCTTGAAGGTGAATAGGTTGACTACTAATTTTGTTCGAAACTCACGTTTGTGTTTTCGTACCTCATCGAAATCTATCGACGATTCAAAGAAATTGAAGATGTAAGTGCAATAATGTTAGTTTTCATGGTTGTGATATCGATTAGGATCGTTGTGATAAACAAAATGACTAATGTAGTAATCATTTGTGCAGAACGATTGTCAACGAGTTCTCATAAAAGAAATAGAAAAAAAAAACATTGGGAGACGACGTCAAACACTAGCATAACATTGTAAAAAAACACACTAGCATAACTAATTAAATAACTTTTCGTCGTACTCTTTATAAAAATAGTTGAAATTAGCATTCGCTAATTTGCTATAAACACTATTAAAAATTAGCATACGCTAATTTTACCAAACTCTTGAAGGTGAATAGGTTGACTACCAATTTTGTTCGAAACTCACGTTTGTATTTCCGTACCTCGTCGAAATCTATCGAAGATTCAAAGAAATTGAAGATGTAAGTGCAATAATGTTAGTTTTCATGGTTGTGATATCGATTAGAATCGTTGTGATAAACAAATTGACCAATGTAGTAATTATTTGCGCAAAAATGATTGTCAACGAGTTCTCATAAAAGAAATAAAAAAACGTTGGGAGACGACCTCAAACACTAGCATAACATTGTAAAAAAAAACACTAGCATAACTAATTTTCGTCGTACTCTTTATAAAAAAGTAGTTGAAATTAGCATACGCTAATTTGCTAAAAACACTAGTAAAAAATGGTAGAATTAATTGAAATTATCTGATGCAGACAATCCATGGTAACTCATTCCCAATATGAATCAAGCCCACTATGCAATCCAAATTCAACCTGCATACCTCCTCCTATACTAATTTTGTTAGTTATGGTAAAACCTTTAATTATATGACTATTTCAGTATTTTGTTAGTTTCAGTAGTAAAATCGTCCCGCATCAAGGTTTTCTGACTGATATGTCAGTCATAAAAAAATTGATGACTATTTCGTAATTGACCATCTTATTTTAGTCTAGTTAGTTGGCCGTTGGAGCCTGAGAGAGCGAGCGAGCGAGCGAAAATCCGAAATACAAAAAGTTACGTGGCGCGCCTCGAGAACTTCTTCCCTCTCCCCCCATGCGCCCCATAGGAAATCGAATCAGTAGAGACTGTTTGGCTCCGCCTACTGTCAAATTCTACCGCCGCATCGCCGATTCCAATCCCGGCGACTGAAACCGAGAACCGCCGGAATTCCAATCCCTAATCAAACAACCAAACTCTTCAATCACCATTTCACATTCGCACAGAAACTAACTGAAACGGCGCCAATTGCGGGTCGTTCCTTCGAATTTTCATTTTATGCGCCGGGATTCCCCGTCGTTCTGTTCTTCACTTCTTGGTCCCGATTTCGTTGACGGAGAAGGGTAGGAAAGCAGGAACGAAGGCCATCGCAATCGCAATCATTTGCTCAATCGGTACGATTTCGGCGGCGGTTAATGTGTGTGAAATTTCTGCTTCTGCGTGCAAGCATTTCGATTTTGATTATCGTTGAATTCTGCGATTTCGATGATTGAAGCGGAAAATGTGTTGGTGAATCTCATTGTAGTTAGTTTCGGAATTAGAAATTGCGTGGTGATTGGCGGGAGTTGGGAGAGTGGGAAACTGGGAGTGATGAGTTTCTCTTTCGTGTTTGATATGTGAAATCTGATTATATGGCGATTTATGGAACTGCAAAAATGCTAGGGTTTGGGATTTGGGCGGAGGAACGCCGCAATGGGGAAGCTCCTGAATTTGCTGGTGGCTTCTGTTATGCCGGTTCTCAAGCTTCTCATCATTACTGCTCTTGGCTTGTTTCTCGCGGTCGATTCTGTTGACATCTTGGGAATAGATGCTCGCAAGCACTTGAACAATGTAAACTGAGCAGAAATCTTGTTGCTGGTTTTAACCGAAAAAAGTTATTGAATTAGTGAAGTAGTGAACTTATGAACTCTGGTTTTGATGTCCACACAACACATGCAGGTGGTCTTTTTCGTCTTCAATCCAGCTCTTATCGCTAGCAATCTGGCGAAATACATAACGCTAAAGAATGTAGTCATGTTGTGAGTTCTGTTTTGTTACTGCGACTGCTTGTGACTTGGTTATGGTCTTCAATGTTCCCTAAAGTTGCTTTCGTTTACCTTTGATGAATGCATATATATGCAGGTGGTTCATGCCACTGAACATCCTCTTTACATTCATCGTTGGATCGCTTCTTGGGTGGGTGCTCATTAGAATAACCGAGGCTCCTCGTGCTCTTCGAGGTCTGGTACTGGGATGCTGTGCTGCAGGTGGGGTTTTAACAGTTTTCGTATAATGAAGGCCTTTGCAAGTTCATAAGTACTCAATGATGAATCGTTGTTACTCGAATGACTATATCTTGACAACTCGATCGAATTGTTAGGAGGGACTACTTGTGATTATGAAGGCTAATTGCTTTGTTTCTTATTTCCCTCGTTTATTGATGAGTGTAGGAAATCTGGGGAACATGCCTCTCATTATCATTCCAGCTGTTTGTAAAGAGAGAGGCTCTCCATTTGGAGATGTTAATGCTTGTTATGAACATGGGTTGGCTTATGGGTCACTGTCAATGGCTGTATGAACTTTACCTTTTCTTCTCAATTGCAATTTTCTTGATTGAGCCAACTAGTTAAGGTAGCTGTAACTGTTTATTGCTCTTGGTTTCTCAGATTGGAGCAGTCTTTATGTGGTCTTACGTTTACAACATCATGCGTCTCTATTCGAGTAGAAGTTCCGATGGACCGAAGTTTGAAGCCTTAGCACATGCCACGAGCTTTGCCACAGACACTCTTGAAGGGCTTTCAAAAGGTCACTCTGGACCTCTGCTTCCCCTGGCAAAATCCGCTGCAAGTGAGGGCCATACCGAATTCGAACTTGTCCCCGTGACATCAGAACATAAGGATAAGGTTCTCTGACATTTTCTCCTGCATCTTAATTATATTGTGTTCGATCTTATACCCATAGTTGAAACAAGTCCATCGGACATCCCACATTTACTGCTAACGAAATAACAATATTCCAGCATATAAACTTCCATTAAAAGTGCAGCAAGCATACTTTCATCAGTCGTTTATTAACCAATCGAACAATTGAAGAGTAGATAGAACATAACTTTGAGGTTAATGAACTTCAGTTAGTGTTTGTGAAACTAATCTCATGTTTTCACTAACAGCAGGAATCTCTGGTACTTCTGCTCGGTGTTTTTAGTGCTAACCATTGGTGTTGGGGACTGTTTCTTTTCTTTTCATGTATTCCTTATTGAGCCTCTTGACAGGTACCCTTCTTAGAGAAGCTAAAGCAGGGAATACAGATTTTTGGTACAATGTTCAACCTGAGGAGATTGTTTGCTCCTTCAACGATTGGAGCGGTACGCTGATATATGAATCTCTCCACCACTTCTTACTTTCAGCTTTCTATCTTTACTCTGTCATTAACTGCAAATGAAATATTTTTCCACCAAAAGTTGGTTCTGTATCTGTACCAAGATAATGTGTAAACTTTATGACATAACAAGCAGAGTCTTTAGGTTCTGAAGAAGTTTTTCTACACTGAAATGCCTGGTGCTTTATTTATAGATTGTTGGATTTGCAGTGGGAATGATCCCTCACTTGCAAGGATTACTAGTTGGCGATAAGGCTCCCCTTCGAGTGTTCCAAGACTCGGCATGTCTGCTAGGGTCAGTTCATCAGTTCATTACAATCTTTTCTTGAGCAAGTTACTCAGATTTTCATTTCAGCTGTCTAATAAAAGCTGTGATTCACAGGGACGCGGCTATTCCTGCAGTCACATTGGTACTGGGAGCAAATCTCCTAAAAGGTAAATTTTCTTCTCTTGACACTTTTTACTCTGCTGTCCCGTTGTGACTCTGGGGAAAACACACTGCTACTCAATGGGAACACATGATCATCTTGTCTCCAGGTTTGAAAGGCTCGGAAGTGCGGTTATCAGTGATTGTCGGTATAATCATGGTTCGTTACGTCGCCTTACCACTGACAGGAGTTGTCATCGTCAAGTCTGCAGTCCACTTCGGATTCGTGCAGCGCGATCCACTGTATCAATTTGTTCTTCTACTTCAGTTTGCTCTTCCTCCTGCAATGAACATTGGTTTGTTTCTTGTTGCACAAGGCATGACAAGGTTTGTCTTTTCACCGGGGAATTTCTACTGATTGATCCAATATTGGCAGGTACAATGAGCCAGCTGTTTGGGACCGGAGAGAGCGAGTGCTCTGTGATTCTGCTCGCAAGTTATGCTTTGGCATCAGTCGCGGTCACGATTTGGTCGGCGATTTTCATGTGGTTGGTAGCATAGAGCTAGGTACTGAACATAAGGCCATCTCCAACAAAGACCCAAATCGCCAAAGTTTGGGTAAATGCCACATTTGGTCACTGAGATTACTAAATCGTATCATGTTTAGTCACTAGAAAATTTTAATAACAATTTTGGTCACTCGAATTACTAAAACTGGTCACTTATAGTCACTCTCTCGTTGGTTTCTATCAAAATCCATTAATTGAGTTGGACGGAAACTAAATAAAGAGTGACTAAATGTGACATGTTTCAGTAATTCGAGTGACTGAATGTGACATGTTTCAGTCATTCGAATGATCGGAGTTGGACGGAGGCTATAGAAGAGTGATCAAATGTAACCTGTTTCAGTAATTCGAGTGATTATATATCAAATTTTTGTAGTGACTAAACATAACACAATTTAGTAATCTCGGTGACCAAATTTGACATTTACCCGCCAAAGTTCATAGCTCAAAAGCCCTCCAATAGGAGTTGGAAAATGGACAACAAATATGGACTTGTAGTGTTAAAAATGGCTAAAAGGAGCCAGAATTGCTGGGCCCCACAATTCCACGAAATGGACGCGACCCACCAGGAGAAGGTGGCACACGCGCGCTGAAGGGAAGGGAAGCACTAAGGCGGGTGTCACCCACCGCCAATCTCAGTGGCTGGTCCATTTGTGTTTCCAAACAATTGATCCCCCACCCCCAAAAATTTAATTACCCCATCAATACAATTAGTGTAGCAGTAACCCATAGGTTAGAGTATGCTTAGCTTATATAAATACAAACAATAAGTGAATGAAGAAAGTAATTCCATATTAAAAAAGTTATTATTTGATCCAAAATTAAATTTATTCTAATTTTTTGTGATGAATTTATGTCAATCATATTTTATGAAATATATTAAGTAAAAAAAATTGCATCGAAATATTCATCTTAATTAATTATTACTACATATATAAAACTAACCTATAATCTATCTATATAAACTATGAAATGTGCACGAAACTAAATAATAATAAAAAAAAAAAGCAAGTTTGACACTTTAGTTCCAGTACTCCATTGTTGGAGCAAATTTCACTTTTGATAGCCGAAGTGTCAAATAATTCTAGCACTCTAGAATTTTGGCTCCCTTCTTATTGGAGATGGTGTAACACACTACAAAAGCTAGCATTCCCCACAACACGAAAAAAGCATAAACTTAACGAACAATATCTTATTTACTAAGCATATGGAAAGGTTTTTAGGAAGAAAGCTAGCTAACCATCTGACTATGGCTGGCGCCTACGGCTGCTCGACTACTGCATGCGTCAAAACTCGTCGGCCGGGTCGTGTTCTTCATGAATCTACAACAGAGCCTGGTCCCCATGAGCATCAACCCAGTGGGTATAAGCATCATACCACCAGAAAAATCTCCATTTTTTGGTTCCTTCGATACGAGCAACTCGCGCACATTCGGTCCCTAGCCCTACCATCACGGCTAGAGTCACTCTCATGGCTCGAGTCAGAAGCATAAACAAGTCCCATCTTAGAAGATGGTTAAGTACGTACCACACGTAAACCTCTCCAAACAAGTCTTAAATTAGTCTATAACAAACCAACTCGCCAATAGTTCCATGTTTCTTTGGTTGCACTTGTGACCAGCAAAATTGATATCACAATTTGCTGATTATTGGGCGTTCGGAATACAAACCAGCCAAACCGACAGAAAAACCGAAACGGGCCCGATCGAACAAGAAAACAAAGAACAAAGTTGGAAAAACCTGTGGCACATCATCAGCCCTCGTTTCAGGGTTCGATTCCATGGGTCTCACTCACTTCACTTGGCAATCCCGCTAGGATCGAACTACTCCTGGACGTGAGCCACCTTCCTGAAGAACGAGCCCTTCACGAACTTATCCCCTTCCACCGCCACCCGGTCCGGTTCGACCACCTCGCCCACCCTCTCCCGCTCCCGCTTCCTCACCCTCACGTTCGGCGCGTGCATTATCTGCTCCTTCGCCGTGTACAGCCCCAGCGTCACCGCCAGCGTGATCATCCCCAGCGCCACGTACACCGGCATGAACTCCCCTCGCGCCACCCACCGCTGCTTCCTCATCACCGCCGCCGCCTCGTGGTGGTGGTGTTGGTGAGCCGCCGGCTTCATCATCGGAGCCGTCGCGTGTGCGTAGGCACGAATGTTGGGAGCTGTCGTCGATGAGGTGATCATTCCTCTCAACCGGCCGCCGATCATCGTCGTCCACGCGCCGCCCACCATTGTAATTTTCGCGGAGTAGTTCCGACCTTATGTGTAGTTGAAAAGGTTTTTTTTTCTAGTACTGTGTTTTGTCGTAGTGGTTGAAACGAAGCTGAGCTGAGCTGCGGCTGTTTTTATGTACAAGTTCGTTCGAGGGTGCATGGTTGCTAGGGGTACGTGGCGGGGCGCTGGATATAGATAGACACGTGGTGAGCAGATAAGGGGCCACGGTGTTCCCGGTATGCTCAACAAACGACACGTCATGCTGCGTGGTTTTCGATTTTCTCGTTTACTTTTACAGAATCGCACATGCTATAGGCAGGCCGAACTAACTACAAGTCTACCAAAGGTAAGATAGTCTAACGATATATCTGCCGCGTTAGTGAAGGTTTGGGATTGCAGATCTCATTTTCGAATCCAAGCGAAGCCCGCTAGTATTCCCAGAGGTACAAGACTATTGGGGACGATGCTCCATTGGCGTCGAATTTGATTGTAGAAGGCCCCAGTTTTAGTAGTACCCGCTGTCACAAAATGGCACGTAATACTGAGATTTATGAGTAATAAAAAAAAATTAACTACCAGTCTACCTGCCATCTATAAAATATATAAAGGCTTTTCTAAAAACTACCTTCACCATTTCAAAATTCCAGCCCTCCTACGCATCCACGTCAGCACCCTTCCGACCAATCAGATTTTTCCTTAACTCCTTTTTTTTATTTTAAGTTTTTCTATACCCCAATTAGACTGTGCCACTTAACTCTCTCTCTCTCTCTTCTTTTTAAATCTCCCCTACTACTCTTAATTGATCCATATTTATTCGCTTCAACTCCAAATTTAAATATTATTGCGCGAAAAAATCAGATTTTATGTGATCTACACAAGGATATCCATTTTGATATATGTTTTTTTAAACATAGCCACAATCATATATATACAAGGCATGTTCCTATTCGATAGTTGCGAAACTATATCAATATCATTCGATTGTACCGCCATAAAGTATATATTAACATAGATCGCAGAACAAATTTCTTATTCTACTGAGTTACTAAATAATATCAATGTTTAATTTTGTAATATCATAATAATAATGCACAACAATTTCATGGGTGCTAAAATATTGTCGTGCAGTACAAACTAATTTACCTTAAAAAAAATCATTTAGCGGCCAACTGGTCGGACTCAAAGGTATACACGATTCGAAATGAGAGAGGACAATGACAGACTGAACAAAATAGACACCTTAGGAGGAAAAAATTACCAAAGTACATATTTCAAACAAAATTTACCCGGCCAACGGACCGGGTACCAAACTAGTTATTATATTATATACGTGCCAACCTTGTGTCCTGGCTTTTGACTCACAAAAGTAAGTACCTCATTTTCATTAAGAAAAACGAAAAAGCATATATTTAAATATATTGGAAATATATAAAAACAATTTGAGTAAATATTTAATAGTCAAACCTTTCATTTGCAAACAAAATAATAGCAAAACCTTTTCGAAAACAAATTATTAGTCAAATCATCAACTTTTCGTCTGGTCAACCGTTAGTTGACTCTGATGTGGAAAGGAACTCTACACGTTAGCTCATTTTTACTATGTGGCAACTAATCAAATATATGAATCATTTTATTGTTCAAATTAAATAAAAACGGAAAAATGCTGGCATTATCTAATCACACCCCCCTCCTCTCTCTTCATTCTCTTCCACCTGTTCTCCCCGTTCGAGTTCCTCTCTCAAATACGAAACTCTTCTCTCCTCCGCTGGACACCCCCCCAGCCCAGCTCAGAACCAATATTAACGGCGCCGTCTTTATCCCTCCTCATGTGAAGGCCGAAAAATCGCGAGTGTCGCCCCCGGTCGTGCATTCCCAGGTCGGGGCTTTTGGTGGACGACGAAGCGCTGACGAGGAGACGACGAAGCGCTGAAGGAGGAGACTGATTAGGTACCCATTCCCTGATTTTGCTTTCAAACCCTAGGTTCGTTATCCCCATTTGATTGAAATTGTATATGAGGTGCGTAATTCGCACCTAATTCCTTTTGTATAGTACTTTTATCCGCTTCCAATGACTGCTTAAGCTTATCCATCAGTTGTTGATGGGCTTTCGTCTCTTGTAGCACTAAAGCATCAATCACTTTTCGAGCTTTATCTGCTTCAATACCCTTCTTTTATAGTAGTGTGATTTTGGCGGAATCTGGTTTGTGAGGACCACAATGGGACCACTGAAATTTCCCTTGCATCACAAGGTATGAACGTATAAGCATAGGATTGAACTGTAATTGTACTGCGAATGAAAAGTCATATTCCCGGGAAAGTGGTCACGCATAGCTTTTTGCTTCTTCTTTTGATATTGCAGATAATGGAATATTTGGATATTCTATACCATCATGGTGGGGTTATGGATTTCTCTGGATTGGAACAAGATATGTTGGCGGTTTTTCAGAGAAGATAGCGGTGGATGTTGATGAAGTGTGTTACTTCGAGCTTCTGAATGTGGCTACACTTTACTTGAAGTTTGTTGGCGTTCGAAAGATATGGTACTTGACATTGGGGGATACAATGGCAGATGGTCTGCATGAAGTGCATTCCGATAAGGATGTGATGGAAGGGTTGCTAGTCGATGCATCCGGTACTAGGGATGTGTCCATTTTTGTAGAGATTGTCGAGGTGGAGGATGGCCTGGTGGGAGACAGTGAGGAACCAAACTTGTTTCAAGGTTTGTCGAAGGAAGCTGAAGATATTGGTGAGGGCTCGGTTGCGAGGAAAGTGATCCATGTTGCTGACTCTGATGATTCTCTTATGTCAGAGCCAAATAATTCAACCCCCCCCCCCCCCCCAATCCCCTGTCAGATTATGATTCAGGGGATGAAGTTGAGCAGCCTCGTGGTATTGAAGATGCTTACCAGAGAAACCAATCCAAGGGTGCCAAATGTGTTCAATGAGGAGCCTGAGGAATGATATGCAGATTTGCCATTTTATGATCCCGATTGTGATCATGAGGACTTCTTCTTCAAGGCTGGGCTGAAGTTCTTGTCTGTTGAGCAATATAGAGATGCTATATACAAGCATTTTGTTGTTGTTGGGGCAAATGTCTCATGTACAAGGAGTCATGGAAGTAGGTGGGAGTTTAAATGCAAGGATGCGGCTTGTGATTGGAGGGTATATGCTGCCTGGTGGAGAGATGGTGTAAGTTTCATGGTTAGGCGGATAGGTACGCCTCACACTTTCTCTCGGTCTCTTTGAGTCAACTTAGTGACCGCAAGGTTCCTTGCTCAACATTATTTCGAGTCACTCAGGGTCAATCCGAAGTGGGAGCCTTGTCATATTGCTAAGGAGGTGAAGGCAGAATTAGGGTCAATGTTGAAGTAAGAACTTGCTACCGAGCTAAGATTATTGCAAGGGAAATGTTGAATGGGACCCTCGACGAAGAGTATCAAAAGTTAAGAAGCTATGTGACAGCTTTGAAAAGGGCAGATTCGGAGGGACAATTCAGTCTAGATGTTGTTCCGGACGGGGCAACGGATAAGGTGTATTTTAGACGGTTCATGGTGATGTTCTCAGTTCTGAAAAATGGATTCCTCACTGGATGTCGATGGATTTTTTCAGTAGATGGTTCTTTTTTGAAGGGCAAGGTCAAAGGGATGTTGTTAACGGTTGTGGGGAAAGATGGGAATAACCACATTCTCCCATTTGCATGGGTTGTGGTAGAGGGAGAGAACAAAGAGCCATGGATGTGGTTTCTCAGCATAATCCAAGAAGAGTTAATGTTTGGTGATGGAAGCGGATGGAACATCGTTTTTGACCTACAAAAGGTAATTTTTAAGTCAATTTTGGTGTTGTGAGTTCTGAAAATGTTTGTTGATGTGAGATTTATAATAGAGTTAATAATAGTATTGAAAGGACCAAGTAAAGGAATTAAGTAAAGGACCAAGTGAAGCTGTAATGCTTTATACCTTTCCACTGGTTCTTCCATTCACTGTCAATCATCCGGGTAGAATGTTGTTTTGTTCATCAGCTACAACAAACATAAATCAGTGTTGATAGTTCATTTCGCATAAATAAAGTGAATTGAATCTAAAAGAACCAATCAACCTAGTAACTTACCCCCATTCTCTTGATCTTCTGCAGTTGAGTCTTCAATCGACAGAGCTGTGAATACTCCTTCCATCACCTCAATATCAGCTTCTGCTTCTGTAGAACATGAAAACAAAAGCAAAGGATTAGAAAGTAAACTTTAAGATCAAACACAAAGCAAGAATAAAGTAATTGCAGTTTACCTCTTTGCATATCTTCCATAATCCAGCTTCGGGTACACATCATTGCCTCCACTGTACTATAGTGTAGCCTGCTCCGATGAAGGTCTAATAACCTACCACCAGAGCTAAAAGCAGACTCAGAGGCCACTGATGTTATTGGTATGGCCAAGAAATCTCTTGCAATTGCTTGCAAAGTGGGGGTACGTAAGACCATTGAGTTTCCACCACATCAATATATCAAAATCAGCAGATCGACGAGGAATGAGTTCCTCAACAAGATAGTGGTCCAATTTAGTAGTAATGAGAGTTGTTTTGCTTTTTTTCCTCTGACTTACAAAGAGATCAAAGTCCAAATCAATGGCAGTAACTGAACTACTACCATTACCAAAACAAGACAAAGAAGAAGAATCAGAATTCTTCTCAGCCTTGCTTTGGTAATCCAGAACCAAACTGCAAATCATTCCCTTTATATTCTCAGCCAACAGATTAGTGTTAGTGCTGCCAAACTTGCCAGCATTATACTCAATAACAACAAGCTTGTATCTAGGATCCAGAACAACAGAAACAGCCAGAACCAAATGTATATCATCCTAATACTTGGTGAACTTCAACCACATATTTCAAGCCATAGCAGAGATGATTGGACATGGATCAGCACACCACTCAAGCAAACTCAACCTCAGATCACAAATCTTGCGAAAAAACATATTAGCAGTGGGATACTTGGTACCAGAAAAGTGTTGTGTGATCTCACTGAAAATTTTCAGTTTATCAATGACAATGCCAGCAAAATCCCAGTGATCATTAGTAGGCACAGTAGTGTATTGACTATCTTTCAGTCTCAGTCGAAAGAACACATCTTTGTATACAATAAAAACAAACAACATTTCATAGGTGGAATTCCACCTTGTTGGGCAATCAAGCACAAGTTTTTTGGAACAAGTCATTTTGAAATGCTTAACAGTCTCAAAGAAGGTCTGGACCCTCTTAGGTGTAGAGTTCCAGTACACCACTCTCTCTCTCTCTAATCAAGTGAATTCCATCCTTGATGACATCCAAACCATTCCTCACGATGAGATTAAGTATATGAGCAGAACATCTCATGTGAACCAGCTTTCCATCCAACAATAAATCATTAATAACAAGATGGTTTTTTAGATGGGAAATCATAGCATCGTTAGTGATACTGTTGTCCAAAGTAACAGAGGACAACCTTCCATATCAACATTCCAATAAGCAAACACTTGAACAATCTGTCTGCCAGCCTTTCACTTGTATGAGGGGCAGGGACATACAAAAATATCAACATCATGCTTCT